TTATTTAACTTTTTAAATAAACTTTTTAGTTTAAGATTACATATTGAACATTAAATAAATATTTTTAAAATATGTGATTGAGAGACCTAAGTATAAAAAGTGATCGTTTAAGTTAATTAACGATTCAAAATTTTAAAATTAACTTAGATATTTTTTAGTATTTAAAAAGTTTACAGTTTATTTTAATTATTTTCTAACCGTGATGGTGTAATATTCTGTTAGTTAAATTATTACTTAACGATAATTTACCTAATGATAAAGACTATCTTAAGACCTTTTAAAAGTTACGAGAATAGATATTAATTTTAAAAAATAAAATATTAAAATCATATAAAATTATATTCGATCTATAAGACAACGAATGGCATGTTTAAACTTCGATGAAAATTAAAAGAAATTACATTATTATTTGAAAAATCTGTTACTAAACAACACATTACTGAAAAGTATTATTACTTTCGTCGGCCAAAATTTGCTTCTAATTTCATCCTTACATAGTGATCACTATATATATAATCGATCAGTACAGTCATAGGCTCCATGCAAGGGGAAAAAAAAGATTAAGACCTTATTTAGTATGACTTTTATTTTTAGAAAAAATTCATTTAAAAAAGACATTAAAAGTTGATTTATACATTTTCCAAGTGATTTATATTATGAAAGAAAGAAGATATATTTATAATGTATTTGGATTGAATTATTTTATTTTGTAAAAAAGATGTTAAAGATATTATCCAAAAATTAAATTTTAATACAACAAGTAAATTTTTAAGACAAGTAAAATATAAAAAATGATAAGGGCCAATTTGCTCTTCAATTAGTTTTAAGAGAGAATAATTGTTTGAATTTCATTAAAACTATTTTGATTATATTGTTAATTGACATATGACATCATAACACCCTGGTTTTATGTTTAAAATTGAATATTGGGTGCATACAATTTGCAGAATTAAACATCTTAAAGTGACACAACAGTTAAATTAGATAAATATTTAACTATTTTTTTATTTTTAATTAATTAATTATTTTAAATAAAAACACCCAATTTAAGTAAAATTATAATTATATCTTTATAGAAGAAGAAAATTAATATAAAAATTTAATAATTTATTATATAAATTAAAATAAACTTATGCTCTTTATATTTTATTACCTAAACTTTTACTCTTCTAAATATTTATTCATAAATATATCTAAATTAAATCATAGTCAAATGCAATAAATTAATAATATTTTATATAATTTATTATAAAAATTAATTTTTATATATTTTAAAAATAATTTAAATAAAATTATTTCATATAATGACATTTTTTGTTTTGGGCTTTTGATTTATTTGGAGCAAAGTCCATTGAGTTATGTTTGCTGGCAAATGAATCACTAAAGAATTAGGTACAGCCCACACTAATTACAGGGCCATTTAAGTGGACCCAAGGTAAGTGGATATCCTTTTGTAATTTCTATGTTCAGCTTCGATATTCATTCTCGACTTTTCGTTCTTCTGCTTCGTCTTCAGTAAAATCAAGACTACAAAATCTACAGAGTATAAAAGTGAAGCATCAGAATCTATTTATGTTTAATCAAATAGAAACCAGGCAACAGAGCTATGTGAGTAGTTGTAATGTTTTCCTGTAAGTAGTTCTTTCTCTTCACTTCCGTCCATTATAATTTTTAATAATAATTTCTTTTTTTATTATTATAATTAATGAATGTGCAGTTTTTTATTTTTGATAAATTTTAGTTTAAATTTATTTCATTAAATTTTAAAGAATTTTCTTAATATTAGTTTTTTAAACTAATTTTATGCAATTAAAATGAGAAAAATTTATTAAAAAATAAACTATTTTAACTAATTTAAATCAATTGAATCAGTTTGATTTGGATTATGATAAAGTGTATTAGGTTAATCAAATCTAATGAACACCCAGCTGATATATATAAAAATATTAGAATGGTCCATATATTCTCTTAATAATATATACTTTAAAAAGAAGTGACACGAATAGATAAATCAACAGTATTGTTCATCCATTGGTTTACGCTTAAGAAGCGACCAAATGCTTAAAATAAATTAGGTTTATATTACATGCATTATTAATTCAACTAGTCGAAACATTTCCATATCAAAACATATACTAACTATATGTATCTCTTATCGTTTAATATATAAAACAAAACAAAAATCGTCGAAGAACTATAAGATATGCTCACGGGAAAGAGTAATCCAAGGTTGTCCCCTACGTTGGTTTTATCCATAGAGCTCCTTTGTCAATGTCATGTAACAACATTATCAATTCAAAATTATGAATAATCAAAAAACCGAAATTCTGTGGAATGTCACTGTAACTAGGGTTTACATATGTTAATTTAATCAAGAAAAAGTGTGGGATATAACTTCTATAAATTTAAGCTTATGTCCTTATGTTGGTGTAAGTATGCAAGCATCATCAAATATATCGATCTCTGTATCGATAATTTCTACGATGTCTTTTTCGTCAATTATATTACTAATTTTATTGACTGGAAATTTGAAGTTTAGCTCGTTTCATATTCTACTTAATTCTGTGTCCTTTTTTCCAAAATATATTTTAAAATTTGACATTAGGCGTGTGGGAGCAGCAGAACTCAACATAAACAAAAGACATAAGATAACTTTGCTATGTGGGATTATGACTGCTTCAAACAAAGGTTATATATATGGGGAGAAAATTGAATTAATGCCTTTGTACGAGTTAGTCATGTAGAAATGATATTCATTTGAAGATCATAGGATGCTCATAGTTAATGTCAAAGTGGCATAGAAGCAAAGTTGATCTTGATTAAATCGGCAGCAACATCTATTTTGTCTTTACTAACTACTTTATCTGTTTATTTTGTTAATTTGAAGATACTAATTATTTGGCGTCTTTCCTTTGACTCTTTCGATCGAATGAGACGCCTAGAGTCGGCTATCATCATAGTCGCTTTCTCTTATTCTATATAAAAATATCTTTCAGATTAATTGATACTAACATCTTAGGCACAGCGGTATACTGTTGTGATGTAATTTTTTTTAATATTAGCACTGTATTTTTTAGAATAATTTATTAATAAAAATTTATCAAAAATCATAAAAATCATGTGTTTTTCTTCTAAGTTAATAAATCTTGTTTGTATTTTTATAAATTTCAATATATTTTTGTTAATAATTAAAGTTTGGGAGTTAATTCGAAAGTAAGGAATTTAAAAGGCAAAGGAAGAGAAGAAAAGAGAAAAAGAAAGAAGACTAATAAAAAATTCAAATTAAAAGAACTTAAAACTATGAGATTAGAAAAGTTTATAAAATTCTCATCTTTTAATTAAAAGCTTTCAAACAAAGATTATAATTAAATAATCACTAAAAAGTAGAGTCAAGAGTGGTTCTATTACAAATATATATATATATGAAAGGAAGTGACCAGACAAGGAACTATTTTGCAAAAGAAGGGGGAAAAAAATGAAAGACGATAATCATCCTGAAATGATATGCAGGAAATTGATGTCTAACCTCAACCCTGTATAAATTATTTACCCCAAAGAAACGTTCCTTATCCTTTTTTTTCTATCACATTTTATTTCACTATTATTAATAAAAGATTAAGCGCTCAAATTACAAAACTATAAAAATCCAAGACAATTATATTAAATTTATTTATCTGCCTAACTATGGTTGTTTCAGTTTATATTCAGAAATTAGCTAAAGTCCATTATGTCAGGAACCTGAAACTTTTCTTCATAATATAGCCAACTCTTGTTTGTTCATCTTGTAGCATAATTTGTTTGAATGCAAAGCAACACTAAATATCTTTAGTATTTAAATAATATCCTATACTAAAACCTTGTTGAAAAATTGATTAAGAGAGGAAGACTTCATGGCACAAACAATCAGTCACAAATTTATTAAAATTGGTCCAAGAAATTAATAAATAACTTGTTAGTTAATTTCATTATTTTGCTTAAAAAACACATTCATATACTAACCATTAATTGTTAGAATATATATATATATATATATATATATATATATATATATATATATTATCGTGGTTATATTTTAAAATATCTTAAATTATTTTTCAAATTCTTGACATATGTGCACTTCATTGTAATACATCTAATTAGATGATATTAACTTATAAATTTATTCTCTTTTATTTCACTTCCCTTTTTATGCCTTGAATCGCATAGTTTTAACAAGAGAAAATATTTTCATGGAAATGTAACAATATTGCAAACAAAAGTCATGTACTAACAATTTAACATTAAAATATTCTTCATTAATATACTTTTTGGTTTAACAAAAATCAAATCATTAATAGATACTATATATTTCTACACTAATAAAATGATAAATTATACTAACATATAATTTTGATAATATGAAAAATTAATATAAAATATTAATATATCTAGTATAATACATTTTATCATTAATATAAAAATTAACATAATATTTGGTGTAATAGTGTACTTTTCATTAAATAAAAATTCTACCACTAAAGACAACTATAATGTTTAGCATTGGTTGTCTGTTAATAGATATCTTTTATAGAATATTTATTTATGTATGTAGTATTTGAAGAGTAAAAGAAACATTTCCTTGAAAAGTAAGAATTGCATGTAAAAGGAGACAAATGTACAAGAGAGAAATTAGTTGTTGTTTAGGATATTACCATAAGACCAAGATGCTGGGGGCATTTTCCTAGTAGTTGTCTTCATATGGGCATTATATATATTGACATAAGGCCAAAGAAGACCAGCTTCCAATGTTAGTATCATCACAACAATAGCTTGCTAATTCCTCAACAGAAACCAAGGATAACTCCATCCCTCAGTTTTTGTCTTCCTTTAGTGTGAGAGTAGTCTAATTTCCTTGCTTAGAGTTCATTAAAAAATAAAAAAGACCCAGCTTTATAGTAAAGTCCAGCACTACCAAGAAGATCAGAGAAGCTTCTATTAACTTTTATAGTATTTTTGTTCAAATGTCAAATATTTCAGGTGATGAAGGGAGTTTCTCCTCAGCAAACACTGATGAAGAAGTTCATCAAGAAAACGAGCAGCAACAACAGCAAAATCACCCTCATGGCTCAAGCGTTGGTGTTTGCAACAGCAATAGTTCTACTAGTCTACAACAACAACAAGCAACCAAGAAGAAAAGAAACCTACCTGGAACTCCAGGCAAATATTCAATCCTGAACTTTAGTTTCTGCCCATGCACATATAACTTAATTAAGCCCAAAAATTTTGGATTTTAATTATATTCGAATTAGTTTCAGTATAGGGAAAATTCTAAATTCACTGGTGGTGTGATTAAGGTAGTTACTAGCTAGAAACTAAGGAAGTCCAAGTGCATTTGCCAAGTTCAGTTTTGCTTCGTAATGTTAATGCTGTATGCTAGCTCTACTGGTCAAACTCTTGGTACTTGGTAGTCTTTTTCAAGCTTAATCGTTGAATTATAGTTCGGTAGAACGTTTGGTTGCTGACTTGCTGTGAACTATTAGTGATAATTTTAAAAGTTTAAAGAACTGTTGTTTTATTAACTTTAGTATTATTCTTTGTTTCAATGCTGTTGGAACCTATTTATGCAACAATGATTCTGAGTAACATGACATGATATAAATTAAGGTTGCACCAATGAGTTAGCTAAAAACACTTCCATCACAAGGGTTTAAAAAATAAACAAAAGAAAATTTGATATATTAAGAACTTAACAATTTAAATTTTTTATGTAACATTTTTTTATCTTTGAATCATTAACAAAGTACCCTGAGTATTATTTGTTTAGTAACACATTAATACATTATTTATTGTGGCAAATTGATAAGTCATGGTGATGGATGAATTTTATGTAACAGATCCAAATGCTGAAGTAATTGCTTTGTCACCAACCACATTAATGGCAACAAATAGATTCGTCTGTGAGATCTGCAACAAAGGGTTTCAGAGGGACCAAAACCTTCAGTTGCACCGCAGGGGTCACAATCTTCCATGGAAACTGAGGCAGCGAGCAAGCAGTGAAGTCAAGAAACGAGTGTATGTGTGTCCTGAGCCATCATGCGTTCACCACAATCCAGCTCGTGCATTAGGAGACCTCACTGGCATAAAAAAACATTACAGCCGAAAACATGGTGAGAAGAAATGGAAATGCGACAAATGCTCAAAAAAATATGCAGTCCAATCTGATTGGAAGGCCCACCAAAAAACTTGTGGTACCAGGGAATACAAATGTGATTGTGGCACCATATTTTCCAGGTACATTTTTTCTAGATTAATTAACACTAATTAAAACCAATGTTAGGTTTTAATTAAACGTTAATTTGCATTATTTGTGGGTTCAAAATATATATCAGTGGCATGTATTATTTACATTGCTTGTTGCTGAGAAACCGGAAAAATTTTTGATACGGCCCCCGTATATATATTTTTCATTAGATTATGTTTCATGAAAGTTTGTGCTCATAAACAAAATAAATACTGGATTTGACAGATAACATTTACTCTCCATTATTATTCATATGGGGTGGTCCATTCTTTCTTATAAGTCCCACTTTTTTAGCGCTTAATAAAGTTGAATTTTGAGTAATATATCAAAGCACAACTCTTTACATTCTCATTTCTACAAGATACATGATGACAACAACATTTAGCTGAGGTGGCTTTACTTTTTTGGTTTTTAATTTAGGTGACAGGAGTTGTTAAATTAACCATAGAATGAAATCACTTGTCTCTTTTACATGTCTTATCCACTGAATTAAAAAAATACTAACACATTAAAAATTTTGTAACTTTTCAAAATGGTGGCATTCTGTCTCTTAAATGTTAGTTAGCATTAAAGTGCCTTCAAACATGTCAACGTTCAACACATTCATCTGAATCTTGCAGGAGAGACAGCTTTATCACCCACAGAGCTTTTTGTGACGCATTAACTGAAGAAAACAACCGAGTGAGCCAAGGATTAACGAGTGGCATGACACCAAACATGCAAAACGAATTGCCAGACCTTATGGCTACAATGCCACCAAGCACTAGTACCAACACTGCATCTGAATTCAACAACAACTATGACCCTAAGAACACACTCAAACCCCTCTCACAAGAACTTATCCCAATGCCATTCAAGCCAATGAGCATGGGTGGGGGCATGTTCTCCACCACTTCTGGTACACTTTTTGGTGGTCCAAAAAACATGCCTCCCTCTTCTTCAAGCCTTCAACTCAGCTCCAACAACTCACCTGCTTTCAATTACTTCCAAGATAGCAAAGACGGTACTGCCTCAGCTCACATGTCTGCAACAGCTTTATTACAGAAAGCAGCCCAAATGGGTGCCACTGCAAGCAATAGCATTAACTCTCCCATGATGCAGAAAAGCTTTGTTTGTAGCATGACTGGCCCTGACCATGTCTCTTCTCCTAGACCACTATATTCTGCTGCCATGCACCACAACAATTCTTCCTATGACCATTTCCATACACAGCCTGATCAATCTCACATGGCTGGTGTTTGTGGAGGTGGAGCCTTCACCAACCAAAATTTTCACAAAGGGCAACAAGATATGTCTCTAATATTTGATTCCAACACTACAATGAATGATATGGGAATGTTCAGCACAATGTTCATCGGAAGTGAACACAACCCGGGTTTGATGAAGAATGTTGAACAAGAGGTTGGTAGTGGTAGTACTAGTTTGATTCACAGAAGAAATGTGGCAGAAGGAAACCAAACGGGGGCATCAAGGTTTGGAGGTAGTGACACGACAACGGTTCATGACTTTTTGGGTATTGGAGGTTCAACTTCAAGGGCAGTGAGTTTGCATGAACCACAGAAACAGCAGCAACAAAGATTGGAGTTGGAAGCATTAACCCACCAGAGAATGCAAATTATGAATCACTTTCACCACCACCTTCCACATGGGGATTCAGCTATGGAGAAATCCATTTGGGATATTTGAGAGCCGACACAAAGGATGTCCAGTTCAGACTAAAAGAAAAGAGAATGTTTCCTTTAATGAGCTTTTGAAACTTTGAAACTAAAATGTCGGAATAATTGTTACTACTCTCCATCAATTATTCTCAATAATGCAATGCGCCTATCTTTTCAATATCAAAAGTGAATTTGTTTTAATGTGAAGAAATGTATTAGAAAGCCAAGCCTAACAGCCAATTCAACCAGTTGAATGATCAACTATTTATGTTATTAGTTTAAATATTAGTTAAATTGTAGTTTAACAAAGGCTTAACCATGAATTTAATTGGTTGAAGCAGTCAAACCATTACTAAAACACTGTGTAAAGTGTTTTGCATATGAATTTAATTTTTGTAAAAAAAACTTGCATCAATATACCATATTATTCAAAAAATTTAACGTTTATTAAATAAGGTGTCAATTATAGATTCAATATTAATATAAAAAAGTTTTACTCCAACAATATATTAAAAATAATGTGTTTTTGGTCATGTGAAAAAAAGTCTGTATATAACAATGTCTGGCCCAATAAAAGCAAAACAAAACTCGACTTCAAATATGTCGTTGAGGGTCCAAGTTATACTTAATTGAGGCCCAATCAGCATGTTGAAGTAAGGCTCACATGTATGAGGCCCAAGAAGAGCAGTCCTGTCATTTAACATGCGCCTCCGTTCTACGCGGTTCGCAGCGGGCCAAAAACCCTAACCCTAATTTGATCACTTCTTTCTATATATACAGCAGAATCGTTCTTTGTCTCTCTGCATTGCCGAAGATCGCTGTTATTCTTCTTTTCGTCACTAATTTTTTTGCAATTTTTTTTTTCTTTCTCTCAAATATGATTTTGACATTTTGGAGGCAATGATGGTATGAACTACCTATTTTATGAGGGAACAGAGAATTTTCCCTTATGATTATCAAACTACCAATGGATCCTTCTGAGCCTTCCATTCTTTTTTTTTTTTTTGAATTTAAATGTTGGTTCAATTTGTCACAATTGATAAGATAATTGAAGTGCGGTGTGGCGGAAGCGAAACAGAGTGCCATTGAAGTGATGATATTTTCATCTGAATTTTATAAATGTTGAGTTAATAAATCAGACTACAATTATCTGATCAATGGTTCTCTTCCATTATTTCTCCAACGAAAATTGAAGAAACCACCTTCCTGATTTTCGTTTTGAAAAATCAATACTTTTTAAACTTTCGTTGACATGACGTTGGAGTTTTTTTTTTCAATTTCCGTGTAATAGTTTAATTTTGGTTTTTATTTTTAATATTTTGGACTGCTTTGAGCTGAGAAAATTAATCAGACGAAAAATTTTAATTAAGTTTGTAAAACTTGATCCATTTACTTGATTTCTTAATAAAAAAGAAAACTACGTCAGCAAGAAGTTATTTTAAAACCTAATTCACTTTGACTCGATTTTTGGTGTCAAAATCGAGAAGCGCTTGGCTATGTTTGTAGGCATATGATTTTTGGTGTCGATTAATTTTTTTAAAACGTTTAAAGACACAATAAAATTTCATATGAGATCTATTAATCATAATGCTAATATCAGATAACAAACCGCTTGAAGAATAAGACACATACTTAGGGCTATTAATCATTTGAGATCTAACCTATCCTAAAGAATACACATATAAGAAGAAAGTATTATTAATATACTATTTGCACTCCTTTTTTTTTATCATTATTTCATTCTTTTAAGAGTTTAGAAAAATGTTATGTCCATAAGGTTAATTAAAGTACCTAAAATAATAAAATTTTATTAAAAATACTAAATATAATAAATATTTTCTAATAAAATTTCACTAATTTTAAATGTAAGCCAATGTTAACAAGAGAAAAAATTATATCATTTTAAAACAAGTTATTAATTTGTAGTCTTTGTCAGCTGAAAAATACCCTCAACGTATGTATACATTAAAAAAAAAACTAATGGTTTAAATTATTAATGAGTTTTTAGTTAACAATGAAGTGACTAAATTAGTTTGGTTAATACGAGAATGCCATTTGTGATTTGTATAAATGTAAAGGGCGTGTGATTCTTTACATTTTTAGCCATCTCATTACTTGAAAGACAACATTGGGGGTAGAGGGGAAGCAAAAATATTAAATACCAATCAATGAAGCGGGGGAAAAATGTTTTCGGTTTTGATGAAACTTTGAAATTACAAGGTACTAACAAAGAAATAAATCTGTCGTCAAAATTTGTTGACTCCATGAAGTTCATTATTTAGTCATATTCAGCAATTTTACAGGTCTATGAAGGAACTCTGCAGTGGATGAAACGTCCAATGGGCGCAAATATGTTTATTCAGGACTCCTTACCTTTCCGCCTCCTGCGAACCTTTTAAGTCATTGGCTATGGAGTTGTATCAGACTAGATACGAGTTGCAGCAGAGTGATATTGTAATAATCAATTTAACTTAAATCACACTGAAAGAATGCATGGATTTGTGAAAAAAATCGGTTTTCCACTCCCCGTGGATGGTTCTAACTATGATTGATCTGTGGGAATGGTTGCCCCAAACGTAGCTGAATGCCAACATGAATTATATTCGAGACAGCTTTCAAAATCTCGTTTTCTGCTTGCTCTGCTATTTCCATTGCACGTCTGTGGAACAATAAACATAAGTTGCCACGAGGGACTGACCCAATTTACAATCAAACTCACTAAGGTTAGACAATAATATTTACCGAATTGGTATATCAGGTGGCATGGAAACCTCAATTTGAAGAACAAGCTTGCTTTGAAACATGTGGCGTGTTATGCGCTCAACTGACATCTGAAAACCAGCTAGAGACAGTTAAAGATTGAAAACACAAGTAATTCTATCCTAACTTTAAAAGTACTTCCATTCACAATGGAATCATCTTCCTTTCTACCACCTTCAATTAATATTTAAACAGATAAAATTGATGACACTCAAACCAGTAAGAAAATAGCAAATTAGCAACAACTTAATTCCGCAAATTTTATGGCTAAGAAATAATTTGTTCACTTCTAACCAATAAAATCAAAGAATCCCCCCAATAGATGAAAGACCCACATCAAATTCCAAACTGAAGCTTATTTTAATTGTTTTATGGTTTTCAATAAAGATGTTACCTGTGGAAAGTTTGATGAGATGATATCAGAAACAATTCCTTCGATGTTAGTATCCCCAGCAGGAGCAATATTGTTCTGGTCCATTTCTCCACTCCAACTATCTTGCTGATCTGTTGTGCTGGAAGAAACATGAGACATTGCAGGATCTACAAGAGAATTAAGAATATAAAAAAATTAGAGTTAAAAAGATACAACATAGCAGAACACATGGCATCCACATTGAAAAAGTAATTTAGATTCCCGGAAACCTCATTACAGTAAATCACTGGGAATAAGTGAATCTAGCGGCAAGGTAAAGGCTGCATGAATAACTAAGATTATGCATTAGCCAATGTAAGAAATTTATAAAACTACACAACAGACCTATGTGTATAAAAATTTCAGCTACCGTAGGGTGGGACTTGTGAATTTGATGACGAACACTTTCACCAATGTCATGTGCAGCACTGACACTAGAAAAAGGATCAACCTGCAAGGTATAGCTAACAAGTAAATCCTGAAAACTGACACATAATGCAGTCCAATAATGAGTTCATGACACAATGCATGTGAATTGTAACATAAAGAATATAAAATTCGGGATAACTGACCTCAATATTTACATCAAGATACAAAGATGAACCAGCTCTCCTTCCTCTTAAGCGATGACACCCCTGTACACAAATTGCTAAGAATATAATTTAAGATCATCATATATTCATATGCAAAACAGCAATAATGAACATCTGGTTAAAAGTGCATGCAAAAATTTGTAGAACTTGAAACATTTTTTCTAGGAAAAGAATGACACTGGAATTGAAACCATATGCAATGTCCAATGTTGCCAAAATAATATTTTAAAAAGGATATCAGATAAAAAAGACACCTTAACACCATCAACTTGCAATATTGTCTGTTTAATAGGATCCAAATGCTGTGCTGGGATCGCAGCATCCACCAATTCCAAGACACTGACAATTGATAAAAAGAAAAAAGAAAATTAGAGGTAGAAGTTTAGACAAAGTCAAAATTGCCTATAATTTCCTGATCCCCTTGATTTAGGCAGAAGTAATCAGTTTACCCCAACAGTTGCACATTTTGACTCACTTTTGCAACCATTTGTATTCTCAGTTACCTTAATAATTTCCCAAGTTGCAATATTGATTAAGCATGGACAAAGAGGTAATAAATTTTATGCCTAAAAGTATTAAATAATTACAATAGCCATCATATTTAATACGCAGTAAAGAAACAACCATCAATTTACATAGTAACATATGTCATGCATGCATCACTAAGAGATAGGTCTAAAACTGACAAAGCTTTTACACGTATCAAGTCCCTCTATGTTGAAGGAAAAATGAATAAACTTGTTACATTTGAATGCCACATTCACTATGTTGATGTATGTAACCTTTCAATTATGAGATAAATACGATCTAATTTATAGGTCATGTCTATGTCCACAATGCGTTCAATATTTTTTTTTATTGTTGTCAGAGGATCACACCGGGTATATGTTTAACTTAGTTTCCAAAATGTGCTTGACATTGATACATTGGGGGTAAAGGAAACAGTTTCAATATCATTCAAAACAATCAGTTAAACATGCAAGTTGCAAGCATTCATAAATTGTGGAGAAGTAGATAACAATGAAAAAGGTACCTTTGGTAACCAGTTTCAGCTCCAGCTTTTAAAATCATGACTGAGACTAGAAGTCCAGCAAGCGGATCTAGAAATTTCACCCCAAGAATAGACCCTCCTAACATGGAGATGAAAATCTATGGTTAGTGAATGTAGTCAATGTAGACACAAGGCAAGGGAAAAGAACATCCTACTAAGCAAATCTGTACTTTCATTTTTATTGGGAAAAAGTATACCACCTCCTTAAACTGTGTCTTTTTGCAAATAGACATTTTGAACTTTCATTTCATCCCAATCAAATCTTAAACTCTTAATTAATGTTATAAAAGATTCTTCTCTTAACTTGGGATTATGTTACTAGCACTAAGCAAATCTGGACTTTCATTTTTATTAGGAAAAAGTATACCACCCCCTTAAACTGTGTCTTTTGCAAATAGACATCTTGAGCTTTCAGTCTATCACAATAAATCCTATGGAAGGCTCTATAGTAACAAAAATAGGAATTTAAGGATTATTTAGGATGAAATGAAAGTTAAAGGTTATAGGAATTTAAGGATTATTTAGGATGAAATGAAAGTTAAAGGTTCCTATTTGCAAAAGGCACAAAATTTAAGGTGCTTGTTTAGTTTTTCTCTAACAATAACATTAGAAAGTTCATTAGTAGTGTAACCAACAAATAAATGAACAAAAACAACTCATGAATTCATACATCAAAATACACAATAAAAGTTGTCATATCAAATATGTCACTGGAAAGGACAATTGTTGACACAATGGAGAGAATACTGCCTTATGACTTGGAGGTTCAAATCCCAACAACAACCTATCCACTTGCGGAGTGGGTAAGGCTGCATACCCTCGCTAAACACCACTATGTGCAAGCCTCCTACACTGGGTCACTCATTTTTTTTTATCAATTATACCACAGGCAATTGACGTAAAAATAACCACTTTTTTCAAAAATAAAGTTCATACGTGATTCAAATTGATCATTAATCAATAATCATAACACAAGTCAACAACACACCTATTAATGACTTGTAAGCAAGAAAACCTGATTGATGGCATAACTTGAAATGAAAGCCAGTATTATAAATTTATAAGACATTATACAGAAAACGAGACCTAATAAACTTTCAAAAAACTAAGTTCCTTACCAACTCCAACAAGAGCAACTACTGATGAAATTGCATCTGCACGATGATGCCATGCATTTGCTTTCATTAGTCCACTACCTTGCTTCTCACCAGCTTGTTTTGTTATCCAGTAAAGTCTAAATATTCACAAAGCAAATATAGATACTGAAATCTTGGATAAGAGACAATATGCTATCTCACCAAAAAAACACAAAACCTAGTAGTGGACATATTAACCAAATAAAAGAGGCCATCAACAAAAGACAGAAACAAAGGAAAGGAGCTTAAATTACAAGGTTCTCATGTCTCAAGCCCAACCAAAAGTTAAGAGATTCAATTTACACCTTGTCAGATGAGGAAAGGCAAGGAGTTAAGGCCATGGCGATGCATTCCCTAAGACAGTAAAGCGCTTGAGCTAACATAACTATAACAATAGCTAAATAAATCTTTTCAGGGATTCATTCAATTAAAATTTATTCAATGAAGGTTTCATATTTTAGTGATTGTTCTTTTGCATCTGACTCTTGACTTGAGATTGCATCAAACTTTATTGATTTGTTTCTTAAACTCATGGAGGGAAAGCATCAAATGCCCCCAATGAACGATTCATCAAATTCACCATATTTAAAACAGTGACATGCGACATAAGTGACTAGAATAGGCATCCGGAATACTAGGACCCCCTCACCCCAATATGTAAATATTAAGTAATAGCCGTACCCTTCTTTAACACATATTGACACAATAGTCATATTCAAAGCAAGGATGGGATGATCCATGTCAATTCCATGGTGATGCCCGCCATGTCCATGACTATGCACATGCTCGTGTGCCAATGCCTGGCCAACCATTTCAGGACCAGTTGAGAACAATCCCTGCATGTGTATAACAATAACTTTCACAATTAAAAATATGACGCAATATCTATTTTACATAATCTAACAAAATGCTCAGTCAACGTTTCTTTAGATTATGTTCATGGGAATGAGTAAAGCAATAAATAGATTGAAGTTTGAATTTCAATACCATCAAAAGGTCTACTGCGTGCCATGCAATGCCACCCCCAGTCGCCAAAAGCATGCAAGAGATTCCAAGAGCCCCCAGAGTCTCAAATTTACCATGTCCTGCGATATAATGACAGAAATATAATCGTAAATGACACAGAAACCTTATAGTAAAAAAACATAGAATTGGCAAGCATAAAATTACCGAGTAATCATATCAAAATACAAGGAGAAGATCATGAAGCGATTATCATTATTATTATATGTAAACTAACAGATAAAACATCCAATTATATTAAAATAACTCCTGGCCTACATTATTCAGCGATGAATGAAAAATGAAATGTGAGCATCCAGAACACTAATAAACAGTAACTAGATGAACAAGAGATAAATGGAGTAGCGTGTAGATACAAATCAAGTGACCATATGGGTGTTCTTTATCTCTAGGCGCCTTGGCAACTTTAAAAGACAACAAAGCTATGCCACTAAGAACCTGCAACACAGACAGTAAGTATGAAATATGCTTCCACGAGAAACAACAAATTGCACATGCGAGGGTGTGAGAGTTACCACATCCGATATGGAATGAGCAGCATCGGCAATAATGGCAGTGCTTCCAGAGAGATAACCGGTGAAGGCTTTTCCGGTAGCCAAACCAATGTCGGCGGCGAGACCCAGCCGGAAAATGTTCTCTCCCTCCTTCTGATTCTGAGGGAGGTGATGGTGGTGATGATCATAGTCGTCGTGATGAGAATGACCCAAATGCCATCTCCTATGGATTTTAAATGCTGGATTTTCAGAGGAAGTGAAACAAAACTCTGGTGGATGCAAATTGAGTGGCTCCAACACAGGAGGAACAAATTTTGATGGGGAAAGCCTTGTGATGCATGTTCTATATACGGGATTCAGATTTCTGAATCTAAATCCCATGCTCTTTTTCTACCAACTCTAGATTCTAACTAGGGTTTCCTTCACTTTCAATTTGTTCTCCTTAGTTATGCTATAGCTGCAGCCACACCGAATGGTATCATCTTAACACTTCAACTGCACAATCCCAAGTTCCATTTCTATCTTCACGTTGATCTAACGCAAATGTGCGAGGTACGACGCGTGTCACCAGCCACGGAAATCACAACACCCTCGCCACGTGCCAATCGAATCTGCTCTCTGCGTAATTTTGATTAAGACTAACTTCGGATAACAGATTAATTAAGCATATTATATCTAATTAAAGATAAATATTTTTTTTTCTAGATGAGTTAAATTCTTATTCAATATATCTTTAAGATGATTTTTTATAAATTATTTAATTATGCATTAATTTAATAAATGTGCATTTGAATTAACTAAAAATTAAATTATTTTAATAATCAACCATGCGCATAACTAATTATATGAAGTAAGCTTTATAAAATAATATATTTTAATAAAATTTATGAAAAATTATTAATATAAATTAAAAAAAAACTTGTTAAAATACTGAACATATGAAAAAAATATATATATGAAAATCAAAGACTGCAGTTGTTAACACGAGGAAATTAGTGACGCTAGCTAGGGTCATCTCTTAGGTTACGTGTAGACCAGGGATTTTAGAATTCGTGAGAATTTTATATTGATAGCGAGGGAAGATAATTCAAATACCAAAAAGTAATTATGAATGATAATTATAAAAATTTTAAATACAATGAAAGATATTTTTTTTAATAATATGTTGTTTAAAATTTTTATATTTATTATAAAAAATTTAACTAAAATTTTAAAGTATTTTTTTAAAAAATTACTAGTCAAATTTTTACATTCTATTGTTTCTTTTCTCTTTTTGAAATATTCTTCCAAAAATTGGCTTCAGCAGCTCCGTCAATAATTCTAAGTTCCTAACCATTGTATGCATCTAACAATCGCAATAAGTTAAGTTTTTAAAGCTACTTGTTACTTAAATACTTTTTATCCGAGTTTAATAAATCCTGTTATGCTATATTTTCCGTTTTTTCTTTCTTTCCAATAACATTCAACTTTTAATCCACTTAATAATTAGCAAACAAAAAACCATTTCAACGTTATGCAAATTATCATTTATCAATTGATTTTTACAGTATAAATAATAATTTATTATTTTAAAAGTGTTCATGGAGTTATTTTTCATCACAGTTAACCACATGTGTATTTTAAAATTAAAATTATTTAAAAAATAAGGTATAAATTACAATTATTTTAATTTTAATTTTAATTTTGTTTTTAAGAGTTTAGCTTTTAAATTTGTTGTTATTAATATATACTGGTTGTTAATATTTAATTACAAAATTTTATTGACATTGTATAATAAAAATATTATTTTAGAATAAATTATATTTTAAAATTATTTAATTGTATTAAATATTTTTTATTTTAACGCATAACATTTTTAGTTATAAAATTAGCTCAAAATAATTTTTAAAAAATATTATTAAAGTATGAGCATTAATGTATCCATGTATTAATGTTAACGTGTGTGATAATGTGATGCTTTATTTTGGAGGAGATGCAAGAATTATTGAAGTATTAAATATATTTATCAGTTTAAAATATGTTAATTAAAATAGGTAATGCATTCTATTGTTGATCCGCTTTTCGCTTCTTTCACGGCCTATGACAATAATAAATACTCCGTTGAAGCAAAGTGGAAAAATAAGAGGCAGCATTTATATTTATTGACTATAATAATAATGGTTGTTTATACAAAGAGATATAAGTTGAATAATTAGGTTTCTAAATAGGACATGGAACAATTCCAAATTCCGTTGAAAACCTTCTCTTGTCTTGTCGCGTGGAATTTGAACAGACCAATCAAAGAATGACCAAAACAAGGACAGTTACGTCATTTAAAATGAAACGAGTGTCGGTTACCGGGTTAAGCTAGAATCATTTTTCCGTTTAAAATTATGATATTGGGGAACGTAGCATTTAGCGCTATTTGGCGGGTACGCGCCCAACCAAATCCCGCACAAGGGAAAACCGAAATTAATACACAAAATCGAACTGAAAACCCCAACTCACCAAAACAGAGACCGTACAGTCATAGAGAGAGCGACACACACACACGAACGCACTCTCTGTACAGTGAAAGTGGGAACTCTGTCTCTCGGATTCTAGGAGGTGGAAGCGAGGCGAACTATCGATCTTCCAGAACATTCTAGACCACTCTAGTACGAACGGGAACCTTCAGTTCAAGCAACCAAACACTAACCTGTTTTCATGGACTTGTACGGTCGGAGCCCCGCCAGGAATGGAACCAACCCGGTGAATCAACCGGAATGGCACTCGCCGACCACCGACACTGGACTCGATGGTTTGCTTCGCTTTGCTTTTCATTCCGCTAGGGTTTCCTGCTTTTCTTAATGTGGATGTTTAGGTTCGGTTAGGTTAGGGGTGGTTTGTTTCTGGAATCTCTTTCTTCTAATTAGGGTTTTGATTTTGGTGGTGTGTAGAATCGATGTGGCATTTAACGCTGGGTGGCGGCGAATCTTACCCGGAGCGACCCGGCGTGCCTAATTGTGTTTATTACATGCGGACCGGGTTCTGTGGATATGGTGCCAGGTGTCGTTACAGTCACCCTCCTGATCGTGCTGCGGTAACCCTTTCCATCATTTTGAGATATCTGCATTAGGTTAGAATTCCATGGAAGTGTCTTGTTGGTGTTGGTTTTAATATAGACACCGTTTACTTGCTTTTTTAGCCCGTGGTGTCAGTGCTGTTCCTAAGTGGGAAATGTTGTGTTAGACTGTTCACTTATTGGGTGGTTAAGGTTTTCTTAGTGAGAAAGTGGGAAACATTTATGACTTTCTCAATGTGGAGTGGCTTTTCAAAGTGAGAAATTAGTTTAGAATTGGTTTTGTGTTGCAGACCTATTTTAGTAAGGTTAGAAGAATGTAGATGTCTGGTTCTTTTGTTCCATCTTATTGCTTAAGTGTATAAATATGAATTCACTAATTAAGTCAAATACTGCTCAGGTTGCTGCTGCAGTAAGAGCTACAGGGGAGTACCCAGAACGGGTAGGGGAACCTCCGTGTCAGGTATATGTTTTTCTTTCCCGACTTAAGTGATCTTCTTAATGTGATATATAGAAATTTGTTATTATTTGTCCAAATTAAAGTGGTTATAATAATTCTGGGTCTTTTTTGATGAGCAGTATTATTTAAAGACTGGAACTTGTAAATTTGGGGCATCCTGTAAATTTCACCATCCGAAAAGTGAAGGTGGATATTTAAGCCAAGCGCCACTAAATATTTATGGATACCCGTTACGCCCTGTATGACTCTTCTTTTTGCTCTTCTTCTCCCTTGCGTTATCAGCAGCAAATAGTGCAATGGTTAAACTGTCTGTGCCTTTTGTTTAAACAGGGTGAGAAAGAATGCTCCTACTATTTGAAAACGGGGCAGTGCAAATTTGGTATAACTTGTAAATTCCATCATCCTCAACCTGCTGGCACATCATTGCCAGCATCTGCACCTCAATTTTATCAACAGGTGCAGTCTCCTACAGTTCCTCTGGCTGAACAGTATGGAGGAGCTTCTACAAACATGAGAGTGGGTAGGCCTCCTATATTGCCTGGTTCATATGTACAAGGGGCTTATGGTCCTGTACTTCTTTCCCCGGGGGTTGTTCCATTTCCTGGATGGAGTCATTATTCGGTGAGATAGACATGTGTGTGTGTGTGATGAAAAGTCAATTTTTTCTTCATTTTAGTAGTTGCTTGATTCTTTTTTTTTTTTTTCTTTTTTATGCAGGCACCTGTAAGTCCTGTGTTATCTCCTGGTGCTCAACCTGCTGTTGGGGCCGCTTCTGTATATGGAGTGACCCAGTTATCATCATCAACATCTGCTTTTGCTAGACCATATACTCTGCTGCCCTCTTCTACTGGCCCTTCAGGAAGCAACTTGAAAGAACAATTATTTCCTGAAAGACCTGGTGAACCTGAATGCCAATATTATTTGAGAACAGGGGACTGTAAATTTGGATTAGCTTGTCGATATCATCATCCTTGCGATCATATTGTGTCACAGCCACTTCTCAGCCCCGTTGGTCTTCCTTTACGTCCGGTATGTATGGTTGCTCACTTGATTTGATTACGTGTTTAGTTGTCTGTTTAACTTCCTACATTTAATTAGATTTTAAGTTGTATGGTACTTCACAGTTACAATTTCTGATGTTATCTGTATACATGTACATATACAAATGTGTGAATAACACATACATTCTGTTCAGGGCACACTACTTGCACTTTCTAAATCAACTTCTTTAGGTAGTCTGAAATATTTTTGCAATAAAATCTAATTTCTCATGAGTCATGACTATTTTATATGGGTCTCAATTTTGTATGGTTCTTCAGCATAAAACTCGTGGTGTTGGTGAAACCTAGTTTGGGTTTTGGATGATTGAATGGTTTAAGCTTTCCAATTTCCAACTCATAATGTCAATGTAGTGAGATCTGCATGATGTTAAATTAATAGCATGCTATCTTGAATTTTGCATGTTTGATGTCATATCATGTTGTGGGGGGGATAAGATGGAAAAATAAGATCTGAGTTGCAGCTACAGCAGAAAGGATTTTGATTAATTATTACATTGTAAGTAAATTTTGGTTGCGGTCAATGATTTTTTTGCCCCTTATCAAGGAAAAATGCTGTTTACACAGCAATTGGATACACAACACCATATGTTGCGCGATTTGAATTCAGTCAGCCAGCCCTCCATAGATTTGAGATTCAGCAATCAATGGGGTAGTACACACTTGTGAGTTAAGACTGCAAACTTGGGCAAATACAATTATTTATTTACGATGGAGCTGGCCACATTATGTAGCAGTATTGATTATACCTTACCAATTCACATATTTGTTATTCCTATTATTTATACTGGTGTTTAAGAGTTCAATGGTTGACTAAAGGAGTAAAGGATTTATATTTTTTTTTTCAGCATTAGTTTTATGTGAAATAATTAATTGCTCTTAAACACATTCCCATGTTGTATTGCAACATTGCAATTTATGTGTTTTCTTTGGGATTTTTTTCTCAATTTGTTTGGTTTCTAGAAAACAGGGGGTACAACCTTGTGCATTTTATTTGCAAAATGGGCATTGCAAGTTTGGCTCCACGTGCAAATTTGACCATCCTTTGGGATCTATGAGATACAGTCCATCGGCATCGTCTCTCATTGATGTGCCAGTTACTCCGTACCCAGTTGGGTCTTTGCTGTCTAGTCTTGCCCCTTTAACAACATCTTCGGAGCATCGGCCTGAACTGATGTCAGGATTCAAAAAGGAATCCTTTTCAACCAGAATACCTTCTTCTGGAAATAGTTCTGGTACTTCTGTCGGTTTGATTTTCTCACAAGGTGGGTCTATCCCGCCATCTGATGTGCAACTCTCAAGTCAGAGTTCTGCCCCTCTAAGCAGTAGTAGAAGCAGCAGACAAAGCGGTGATATACGTTGACCTGGGCAGTGCAAGACTTGATAATAACTTCTCATTAGATTGGGTGTGATTTCACAAAACCTCCATTGCTTTTGTCTATAGTCTCAGTATTTAATGGCAACTGTTCAAAGTTTCATTATTGCTGTCAAGAATTCCTCATCCAATTCTCTTAAGAGCCAATACGTGATCATTCTCTTTTATGTCATCTCATCTGATAATATTATTATCTCAAATAAGTTTGAATAGAAAACTTTTTATTGTATTTTCTTCCTTCAGAGTATTATTATTCTTCGTCGATTTTTTGCGTTTGTGTGATGTCTATTGTATGTCTGCATGTTTGTGAGAAATAGAGGGCTCAATTTTAAGTTTTGCTACTTATGAAAACTTGCATTTTTCCTCTTGCTTCTTAACAGGCTTATGGAATAAATGCCCTTTTGTTTTTCCGACAAAACTTACATACAGAATCGCTCTTTATCTCGCTCAATAAATATACTATTCTAAATCTAATGCGGAAATTGGCATTTACCTTACTCTCTTGCACAGAGATTGCTGGTATTTCCCCCGACATGATTATATTAAGCTGTTGAACCATATGCAATAATGCACATATTATGTTGCAAATATTTTATGCATTTTACCCAAATTTTTTAATGTATATAAATATTAAAACTAAATAAAAAGAACATTTAAAGATTATTTTAATTAATAAAATAAAAATATTAGTTTTGTTAATATCAATCTTTAAGTTTAAGTTTAAGAATAAAAAATAAGTTTATATTAGAAAAGAAAATATTTATTAGATTAACGATACAAAAATATAATGAATAATTAAAAAAAAACATTACTAGTTGCTTTAGGATTGAGAGGTAACATTTTTTTTAATGCAAGTGTGAAACTTAATTTAATTTATTGGTAATTTGTGAATGCCTTATTTAATAATATTTGAGCAGAGATAAAGAATATTAAGAAAAATTCGAAAAGATTCTTTTAATAAAAAAATTTCTAAATGAAGACGGGAAATTACATGAAAGTTGGTGTGTTATTCAACTCAATAATGACAAAACAATTTTATTATATGAAAGTGGTTGTCATCAATCATGCTTGATGCAATCTCCTTGCAAATTTATTATATGAAAGTAGACTATCATCATTCTTGCATTAATGCACTTTCCTTACTACGGACGTCTGATGGGCCTGTTAATTTCTCAGCCCATCTGCTTATGGCTTCAACATGTTTCTGTGGATAATTCCTATCATTCTAATTCGTTCAATAATTAGCGATACCAACAATATTAATGCAACGTTGTCGTAAATTGTTTTTTGACATTGTGAATAGTCAAATGCTAATTAGTGTTTTTAGGTTATATATATATATATATTTAGATATCCATATATAGAGTAATGATATGTAATGTGAAAATTTTTGAAGCTCGAATAATAATGACTTATGTGATTTCTATCATTTTCTAATTTTGATTATTTTTAATTTAATATTTAATCGCTGATATATATTAAAGTTCTTTAGTTCCGTTTCGTACCAGTTTCTCTTGGTACTATGCAGCATTACTCAAAAGTCCAAAAATGCACTTATCGTTGCATAATTACTGATTTTAGTTTGTAGACAGGACATCAAACAATTCCAAATTCCTTTGACAACCCTTCTCTTGTCCCTACACACAGCAACAAAATATGTCGACCAATTTTTCTTTTTTAGAAAAAGGAAAAACTAAATGACCAATCAAAAAGTCCTCCACCACAAACGAAATGACCAAATTACCCCAGTATTCTTCCATCTATTACTGAAATATCCAAGACTAATGGCTCAATAAAGGTACCACCCCATTGAAAGGTGATATAAAGCCAAGGACAGTTGCATCATTTTGTGAGGAGTGTTACTGGTTAATAGGAATGACAATGGATAGGGTATGGGTAGGATACTATAGTACCCATTTCTATACTCGCGTTTTAAAAAAATACACGTATCTGGCTCTATACCCGCATGGGTATGAACATTAATCTCGTACTCGTACCCTCTGAATACCTGCATACCATCTTGTACCTATTACCCGCGTTTGTTTGATAAAAAAATATTTATAAAGAAAAATATGTTTATATAACTTCATATAAGTAGCATAATAATACAAAAATTCAATTTGTAGTCATCGAACAAGGTACAAACATAGATAAAAAATAAATATTCAAAGATCATAAATGTTAAATGTATCTTAATATAATAATTTTCTAAACTAAAATTCTTAGAAACAATAAGCGAAACTAAACACACAAGTTATTTGTCAGTAATAACCCTATTTTGGTGACTTTTTGTGACGGTATTGACAACTAACTCTAATGAATAACGTTTTATAGTTGTTAGGTTTTAATAAAACAGACATTGAGAATAAAAATAGAGTTCGAGTAGAGAAATTTAATACTAATAACAAAAAGTGGATACATAAAATATTTTTTTTAACTTTTGAATTTGAAATTGTAAGAAAAATAATAGATTTAATTAAAATAATATAATATAATTAATATATATATATATATATATTAATACTAGTATTTTTAACTCATATATTATACTAAGATATTTTATCAAAAATAGAAATTTTTGAAAAATTATTTTAATGAATTAAATATTTATAATGTATATAAATTTTAAAAGAAAGAATTGGAATAAAAGATAAATAGTTACAATAAAATTTTATAATAAAGAAATATACGTGTATATTAAAAAAATTATACTTTTTTATCTGAAAAGTTAACAAATAAAAATTAACAATAATTTTTTATATTTATATTTTTTCAAAAACTTCTTTGAACGTGAATAAATAGTAAGAATAATATTATTTAGATTTAATAGATTATAGTTGTACTTGTAATACATATGTTGCATAGAAAAATATTATTTTAAATTAAAATATAAAAAATAAAATTTAAATATTATTAATAAATAATAAGTTTACAGTAATAGTAGGTGATTGAAAATTTATAAAATATTTATAATATATTTATTATTTATCATTCACTTTATGATTTAAACATTAATATGATTTTTTTAACAAAAATATTGTGTAAAAAATATATTATGTGTGTCATATATAAATAATATTTTAAAAAATTAATCTCATATTAACTATGTAATAATTAAATTGTATTAGTTTAATTAAATGATATAAAATAATAAATAAATTTTTCTGTTAAAAATATAAACCAAAATAATTTTGTTAGTTTACTTTATTATTAAATATATATTTTATACTAATCTTATATAACTTCACATAAGTAATATAATAATATAAATATTTAATGCATAATTGTAAAATAAAGTTTAAGTATATATATATATATATATATATATATATATGCGGGTATGGGCGGGGTAGGTACTTAGATACCCATACCGGCACCCATCCCCATTAAATTTTGCGAGTTTTTACCCACACTCACACCCATACCTGTACCCGTATAGCGGGTAAATGCCCTACCCATTGTGGGTAATTTTTGCGAGTGCTCATCAGGTACTTTACTCATTGTCATCTCTACCGGTTAAGTTAGCACTCCCTTTTCATTTTATATTATAATTTTTCGCTAAATATAATGTTATTACGATTAGTTTATTTTTTTAAGTTCATTTCTTAAAAATAATTTCCATTTTCATATGTTTAAATTTTAAAAATATTTATTTTGACAACGTATTTCCTGTTTTCAGAAAAAAAAATTAGTATATTTAGTTCACTGATTTTTAATAAAAAAACTCACATATAAACACATTAGATTCTCTTAGCGTAAATAAGTTTTTTTATCTTAAAAAATTTATATATTTTTTATTTTTAACATTTTTTAAATAATCACTTTAACATTTTTTATTTGATTATTTTTATTAAGTTAAAAGTTGTGAATCCTGTAGCTAGCTTATGATTGGAAAGTAATAAAAAAAGATTTTAAAATGAAAAATGTTATTAAGGAAAATATTTTCTAGAATCCAAGTTTTAAAGGGAGAAAGCAAACAGCCCTAACATTTAGCGGTATTTGGCGGGTACGCAGAGAACCAAATGGCAAAGAAGGAAAAACCAAAATGAAAAGAGAAAGAAAATCGAGCTGAAAACCCCAACTCACCAAACCGGTTACCGTACAGTCGTAGAGAGAGAAACTAAAAGAAAATTCACACACGCGCCAACGCACTCTCTGTACAGTGAAAGTGTGCAAAGCCCGTTTCTGCGAGGAGGAACCGAGACCAACTCTCGATCTTCCAGAACATTCTAGAAAACTCTAGTAGGAACTGAATCTTCAGTTCAAACAACCATACACTTGACCGTTTTCATGGACTTGTATGGTCGGAGCCCCGCCAGGAATGGATCCAACCCGGTGAATCAACCCGAATGGCGCTCACCGACCACCGACACTGGCCTAGAAGGTTTGCTTCGTTTTTGTTTTCATTCCGCTAGGGTTTTTTACTTTCCTTAATGTGGATGTTAGGTTCGGTTAAGTTGGGAGTGGTTTGTTTCTGGAATCTCTTGCTAATTAGGGTTTTGATTTTGGTGGTGTGTAGAATCGATGTGGCATTTAACGCTGGGTGGCGGCGAATCTTACCCGGAGCGACCCGGCGTGCCTAATTGTGTGTATTACATGCGGACCGGATTCTGTGGATATGGTGCCAGGTGTCGTTACAATCACCCTCCTGATCGTGCTGCGGTAACCCTTTCCATCATTTTGAGATATCTGCATTAGGTTAGAATTCCATGGAAGTGTCTCGTTGGTGTTGGTTTTAGTAGTGGACACCGTTTACTTGCTTTTTTAGCCCGTGGTGCTAGTGTTATTCCTAAGTGACAAATGTTGTGTAGTTAAGGTTTTCTTAGCGAGAAGGGGGGAATTGGATTATGACTTTCGCAAGTGGAGTGGCCTTTCAAAAGTGAGAATCCAGTTTAGAGGGTAATTTAGTTTTTGTGTTGCATAAACCTATTTTAGCAAGGAAAAAAGGATTAGGAGAATGTAGTTGACTAGTTCTTTTATTCTGTCTCACTGCTAAAGTGTGTTAATATGAATTGACTTAATTGAGTCAAATACTGCTTAGGTTGCTGCAGCGGTAAGGGCAACTGGGGAGTACCCAGAACGATTGGGGGAACCTCCATGTCAGGTATTGGTTCTTTTATCCCCTTTTAGCTGATCTTCTTAATGTAATTTCCAGAAATTTCTTAGTATCTTTCCAATTTAAAATGGTGATAGTAGTTCTGGGTCTTTTCTGATTTGCAGTATTATTTAAAGACTGGAAACTGTAAATTTGGTGCATCCTGTAAATTCGACCATCCAAAAAATGGAGGCGGATATTTAAGCCATGCTCCACTAAATATTTATGGATATCCGTTACGGCCGGTATGACTCTTCTTTTTAATTGTCTTCTCCCTTGAGTTAGTAGCAGCAAATAATGCAATGGTTAAATTGTCTGTGCCTTTTGTTTAAACAGGGTGAGAAAGAATGCTCCTACTATTTGAAAACGGGGCAGTGCAAATTTGGTATAACTTGTAAATTCCATCATCCTCAACCTGCTGGCACATCATTGCCGTCATCTGCACCTCAATTTTATCAACAGGTGCAGTCTCCTACGGTTCCTTTGGCTGAACAGTATGGAGGAGCTTCTACAAACTTGAGAGTGGCTAGGCCTCCTATATTGCCTGGTTCATATGTACAAGGGGCTTATGGTCCTGTACTTCTTTCCCCAGGGGTTGTTCCATTTCCTGGGTGGAGTCATTATTCGGTGAGAGGGACATGTTTGTGTGGTGAAAAGTCAATATTTTCTTTGTTTTAGTAGTTAATTTTTTTCCTGATGTGTTTGCTGCAGGCACCTGTAAGTCCTGTGTTATCTCCTGGCGCTCAACCTGCTGTTGGAGCTACTTCTCTATATGGAGTGACCCAGTTGTCGTCATCAACATCTGCATTTGCTAGACCATATACTCCTCTGCCCTCTTCTACTGGCCCTTCTGGAAGCAGCCTGAAGGAACAATTTTTTCCAGAAAGACCTGGCGAACCTGAATGCCAATACTATCTGAGAACAGGGGACTGTAAATTTGGATTAGCTTGTCGATATCATCATCCCCGGGACCAGATTGTGGCACGGCCACTGCTTAGTCCCATTGGTCTTCCTTTACGTCCGGTATGTATGATTGCTCACTTGATTTGAATACTTGTTTAATTGTCTGTTTAACATTCTTAGATTTGATTAATTGTTAAGTTGTGCGGTGCTCTCTTGATTTGAATACTTCTTTAATTGTCTGTTTAGCTTTCTTAGATTTGATTAATTGTTAAGTTGTGTGGTCACTTACAGTTATAATTTCTGATGCCATCCATTTAAATGTAAAAATGTGTGAATGACATATTTATTCTGTTCATTACACACTACATGCATTTCCTACTTGTTAGGAATCAAATTCTATATGTAGTCTGGACAAGCTGCTCATTTATTAGCTTCAGCACAAATAGTATGAGTATCCCTGCTTACCATTTAACTCATATCCTGGATTCAGTTGCATACATACTTACATTCCCCCACATGCAAGACCCTTTTGGGCTTGAGATGTGGAACTCAATTTCTTATTTAGAATGGGAGTAGCAAAGATTCACCTTTGTGATGTTGTTCTTTGAAGTCCTCGTTTCATGTCAATGACCAACCTTCCTAAGCTTAACCTGTTGATTGAAAGCAGGTGATTAGTGATATATATAAGAGGTTGCTATTCACTCTATTTTTCTTTTTAATTTCACGTGATATTTATTTCACCTGCTGTATTCCAAGTTTCTGAAATTTGGGGCTTTTAATGGTTCTTCAGCATAAAACCCGTGGTGTTGGTGGAACCTAGTTTGGGCTTTGGAAGTAATGGTTAAGGATTTCCAGTTTCCAACTCAGTATCAGTGTAGTGATGATCTGCATGATAAATTTGTAGCATAGTAATTTCCATTCTATCCTGAGTTTTGCATGTTTGATTTATGTCATTGGTGGGGGGATATGAGATGGAAACTTAAGATCTGATCTGGGGACTACAGCATAAGTTTTTTTGGATTCATAGTTACATTGTAAGTATTTTGATTGTGGTCAATGCTTGTTTGCCCCTTATTGAGAAAAAATGATATTTGTGTAGTAATTGGATACACAACAGCCTATGTTGCTCCATTTGAATTCAGGCAGCCCTGCATAGACTTGAGATACAGCAACCTATGCAGTTGTGCACACTTGTGACTTGTGTCAGCAAACTTGGGTAAATACGTTCATGATGGAATCAGCCGCATTATGTAGCAGTTTTGATTATAGCTTATTAATTCATGCTTGTTTTTCCTCTCATTTATACTGGTGTTTAGGATTTAAGTGGATGATTAAAGGACATATTTCTTTTAAGCATTAATTTCATGTGAAATAATTAATTGTTGTTGCAGCATTGCAATTTATGTGTTCTCTTTGGGGATTTTTTCTCAGTTAGTTTGTTTTCTAGAAAACAGGGGGTACAACCTTGTGCATTTTATTTGCAAAATGGGCATTGCAAGTTTGGCTCCACGTGCAAATTTGACCATCCTTTGGGATCTATGAGATACAGTCCATCAGCATCGTCTCTCATTGATGTGCCAGTTACTCCATACCCAGTTGGGTCTTTGCTATCTAGTCTGGCTCCTTTAACAACATCTTCAGAGCTTCGGCCTGAACTGATGTCAGGATCCAAAAAGGAATCTTTTTCAGCCAGAATACCTTCTTCTGGAAATAGTTCTGGTACTTCTGTCGGTTTGATTTTCTCACAAGGTGGGTCTATCTCACTATCTGATGTGCAACTCTCAAGTCAGAGTTCTGCCCCTCTAAACAGTAGCAGAAACAGACAAAGTGGTGAAGCACGTTGAGCTGGGTAGTGCAAAACTCAAAAATAACTCCTCAATAGATTGGATGTGATTTCGTAAGTCTCCATTGCTTTTGTCCATAGTCTCAGTATTTAATGGCAGCTGTTCAAAGTTTCATTATTGCTGTCAAGAATTCATCATCCAATTCTGTTAGAGCCTATACTAGGTCATTCTCTTTTAAGCTCATCTCATCTGATTATATTATATCTCAAATAAGCTTCAATAGAAAAACTTGCCTTTTCTTCCTTTCCTTTGAAATTGAATATCAATATTCTTCCTTGATTTATGGTGTTTGTGTGATGATGATTATTATTTCTTGTCTGCCATGTTTATGAGACTGATCCTAGCTCCTGCTCTGTACGAAGATGAAGAAAGAGCTCGAGTTCTAGTTTTGCTACGTTTTTTAGTACCAGCAGTTTTTTCCATGCTTCTTAACAGGTTTATGGAATAATTGGCCTTTTTTTCCTCTGCATGATACATAACTTGTTTAATGAACTATTTAAATAATGACTTGTATAATGAATTCAAAATGAAATTTATTGAAAACCAATTTTTTATGAGTTAGACCAAGAACCTTGTTGAAACAAGCTGAAAATATTTTATTAGAGTGATAAATTGTTTTTATTAAATTATTTATAAGTTCTTCTAAATAGGCCTATGCTGTATTAAAATGCGCAAATTGGCTTTTACCTTACTACATTGGATGGAAACAGGGTTGCTGGTGTTATCAGCGGATACACATGCACTCATGTTTATTGGATTATAAATATTTTTACAAACTAGATAAAATATTTTTAAAAATATTGAAAAGGATGCTTGAAACTTAATTTTAATAAATTTAAAAATTAGTATACCTAATAGCAATTATTTTTATTAATTTATAAATATTTTATTTAATATTCTTAGCTAGTGGCAGGCAACTGTAAGATAATAAATAAATAATTAAAATTATTAATTTTATTCATATTTATAAATATATATAATAAATTGCATTTCTCGTTGTCGGTAGGGACAGATGAAATTGTATTTTGGCACTGTTTCCCCCCAAAAGGAGAAATGCGTGACAGAATGAGAACACGCAAAGGAGATAAATGTCAAGACATTCCACCTGATACAATGATGAAAGCTTACATTAAAGTTATGTGATAATATTTTTCATACAATTAATTCTTAACTATGCACAACTGCACACATTATTTAAAAATGATGATATAAACTTAAATAGATCTGACTAAATTAAGGTAGTGAATTTTAACGAGATTCAAAAACAATGATGAATAACTACATAGTTATGGTGTAACATTGATGATAAGAATTTTGAATAGCATCAATTAGATTTAGATATATTTAGTTATAGTAACAAATATTAGGAACACGTACCTTATTTTATGAACATTTTTCAATATATTTTTTATTATTAAATGATTTTCATATAAAACCTAAATCATGTATATTTCGTTTTTTCTTTTAATTTAATGAAACTTATTTGAAATTCATTTAATGACAATATCATATCGGTGTATTTTTTTGTTGAGCTTTTTAAAAGTATTGGTGAAAGAATTAAAAGTAAATTTATATTAAAAATAATGTTAAAATATATTAATATTTTTTTCTTTCTAATACGATAATATCTGGCTTTGATGTGTTATCTGACCACGAATGGCACCATCAAATCAGAGAACAACGTAGTTATTAATTACAAAAGGGTGGTGGGTCAAGACAGGTTCCGTATGTAGCACAGTTGTTGCCTGCAAGGGCATGCTTGTCTCTCTCATTGGTCCACTGGACACACTCTGTTCATCAGGATTTTAGCATTACAAAACCAAATCAATTTCTTTTTCGCTCCCTGCGAAAATTTTCTTTCCTTTTTCTATTTTACGGGAATCTTTAGGAAGTAATATTATTTAAATTAAGAATATTCATAATATAAGACAATTACTTTTTCAACGACTTTTTTTTCATATATAAAATTCAAATTCAAAATATTATTTTAAATAATTAAAACATATATATATACAGCTTATATTAATGTTCAGTTAATTATAAAATATTTAATTTACTAGAACTTTTTATCTTTTGTTGTGGTTAATGATGAAATTTGCCACATCATTACCAAAATCTTTGGTCCCAAAAATTGTTTTTAACTTTAAATAAACTTGACTACATTCATCGTTTAACTTATTTCGGTAAATTTTTCTAGAAAAAAAAATTACAAAATCGTTACTTCACTTAAATATTTATTTTTAAAAACTTCTGTTTTGACTAAATGCGAGTAAAAAAAGTTGATAAAAAAGAATTACGTGTATAATTGATTTGCCAAAAAAATAAAAAAATACATGAAAAATTTATTTGATTGAAAACAAAATTATACTTATCTTCCACAGCTTTTTAATTAGTGTGGGATCAAATAAGAATGTTAAAAGATGCTACTGGTTTTAAAATTAACGAACGGCTTTTATGTATCAATTAAAACATGTGTACAATAATTGAATTGTGTTTATAGACATCTATTTTATGATTATGGTAATCACAAATATATGAATATTTAGCATATAATCAATGGATTTTTTTTTTATGATAAATGAAAATAACGATTGATTATTTGATAATATAAGTTGATATTTTATGGGTATATAGTTTAAGATTATATTCTTATAAAAATAATAAAATTGTATCTTTGATGAGTTCTAAAAGCTGTTTATAAATCATCAATTATTTGATTTTTATACATAATTTTCATTTTGCATCAACATAAGATTTATTAAATTAAAAAAATGGTTTTAAAATCAAATTAATTGAGTATTTGATATATTAAAATATGAGTATAAGCCCGACCTAGTCAGGTAGTCAAATATACCTAATTAATTTATTAATTGATTACATTTTTTTAGTATACATTAATAAATGATGGTCCGATAGATTGTTTATTCAATTAATGTGTCTTTGAAACTTTGTTTTTCAGTGGAAAAAAATTGTACATAATTTGGGTCTAACTATTAAATTATCTTTTGTATTTGTCTTTGAACCGAATAACCCTAATTGATCAGGAATTTTACAAATATGTTATTTATACCTTTAGTAAACTTATTATTACTATTAATTTTAATTAAGTTATGCATTTTATTATTTAATGTTTTTAAATGCCAAACTAAAAACTATTGCATAAATTGATAAGAAATTTTTTTCACTTTAATCTAGATCTTGAATTCAAGTCTTCCAGCAGAGGATATTTATGATCTAAACGTTTTCTTTCATTTATTCATAATTTTTAATAGCAAAACAATGTGTTGTTTCTAAAAATAAATGATGAACTTAACCTTAGTGAGTCTTTTAATAATAGAAAAAACTTAATTTACTTTTAAAATTAAAAGTTTTGAAATAAATTAAACACTAATTGACATATTTATTATTATAAGAAAAGTTGATTCCTTGATAAATGGATGCTTTGTTGGAGGAATAACATTAAAATTCCATGTAGTAAATGTTGCTTAAAAAATAAAACTTATATTAATAAAATATTTCCTAAAATCAATGATGTCTCATAAATTAAAGTGATTCATTTCAATGCCAAATGAAAAAATTTAAACAAAACCATCTATAAAGAAGTTAAAAAAATTATTTAACATTTCAAAAGAAAAAAAAATGAAACAGAAATGTTAAATAAGATTACAATAATTTTAATAAACTATTTTTAAAAGGGTCTCAAGTTAAAGTTTTCTTTAGGCTTATGTAAGTCTTGGGGTGGCCTTGATGATTGCTCATGGTCCATTGATCATCGCCTGGGTTTAATGATGTTAAAGTTTGATTAGAAGATTCGCAGCTCATCTTAGATCTCTTATTATTGGGAAGGGATATATTTATTTTTGTAATAAATTTTGGATATTTAATCTTAATAATCGTGAAATATTAATTTAATAAATTTAATTATTAAATTATTTAATATTATTTTGATGAAAATTACGTAAAGTTTGATAAATTAAACTTTCATAAATATATAATCTTATCGTCAATATTTATTTATATTTTAAAAATATTATATGAAAAAAAATCAATTAGTAGAATATCAATTACATTTTAAACTGTATGAAAGCTTATAAATTGATTGAAGATTTGTAATTTAATTATTAGTTTATTGTTTATATAAAATTATTAAATAAAATAAGTTTAAGATGATTCAAATAGTTTTTTTCTTCATTTTTTTATTGGTAATGAGTTATTTTTTCAAAGGAATAATAACAGTTTTTTCTAGACAGGGATAAAAAGTATGACATTTACATTTTATAGCTTATAAATTTTCAAAACATACACTTTATTTGTTTACACAAATATGTACTTGTTTCTTTATCTTTAAATGCATACTTTAAATTTGGAAAATATGTAAAGGAAATTTCTTATTGTGGGTATAGCATCATTTTTAAGTTATAATAAATAATGATCCACGACCAATTGCTTTGTTAAACATGAATTAGTTAAAATAAATAATGATCACAAAGCAAAACTTCTACGTTTTGTAAAATGATGTGGATGATTATACATTGCAACATTCACTAAATAAAAGTCAAAAAGTAAATGACATTCCATAAAGCGTAACTTTTTTTTTAAAATTTATTTAATATAGTAATTTATTAGCATACTAAATTTTAAGTATTTAAAAATAATATATTTTAATTAATTTTTAAAATTTTATATTCTGAATATAATTAATATTTTTAATAAAAAATATATCATTTTTAATTACTTAATATATTAACATTTTTCTCAATATAAAAATGATTTTTACTAACTTTAATTTTTAAAATTAAGTTTAAGTATCTAAAAATATATATTTTATTCAAAAATTCATTGCATTAAAATTATAAAAGTAGAATAACTATATTTTCTAACAAAACACTAACGTTATTATTAATTCTTTATACTCAGTTCCAAGATCTAATATTAATATTTTCCTATAAACATAAACTCACTTTTATTACAAAATTCCCAAACTTATTCATTTGTGAGCAACATTCATCGATATATGTTTTTCAAAAAATGAAAGAATTTATATTACAACATTAAATGTGTATGTGAGATATTCACACGCTTTTCTATATATAAAAAAAATGTAATCATAGAGAAAGTCATGTTTTATAGTACAAATTGGTGCAATTATGTTAGTGAGCTCTCGTGTGAGAGTGACAAATGATAAGAAACCCAAATGTTCATCAAATAGAGTTATATAATTGAAATTTGAATTGAGTACCATGTTAGCTGCATAGACATCAAACCTTAATGTATATGCATTCATCAATGGCATTGAAGGTAGAATTTTAGTCTGCATTTGCACACCCCACAAATTTAAAACAGGTGGGGTCACATGTTTTTTGAACATCATGATTGTGGCCACCATCTTTTCACACCTGCACTAATGATATTCAATTATTCATAATCTCTTTCATCCTTATGTGTGGAAAAGAGAAAAACCTCTTTTGATGTGGCTGTCCCATTTGGCCTCTTCCCATTTTATGACTGCCATAGAGAAACAATGCTTTTGATCTAGTAATTTTTAGCGAAACCATCTTCTCTTTTAAATCAAGAGAGAGTACCCATAATTGATTCTTCACACAACCGTTTCATAATTGATACCTACAACTTTAATATAAATTTTTTATGATAAAGCCATAAGCTATAAGCCTAAGTAGTTTCATCTACTTTAGCTTTTACAACAAAAGCTACTTTTAGAATTGAAAAAAAAAAGTATGAAAATTTACTTAGACATAATGTGCTTGCATGAATAGTTATAAAATTAATGGAATGCAAATTGAAAGAACCAAAATGGGTTCATCCTGCATATCATTTCCAATTTCAGTCTAACTCTAAACTAATTGAAAGAAAATAATGCAGAGTGATTCCCTTGTCTCCAGACTCCATACAAGAATCTGCTGGGCCTTAACCTGCAAATCAAAACATAAGAGTGATAAAAATAGCATCAAACAAAGAGACACTTTAACAGCACAAAATGTATTTTTTTTCATGCTCCAAAAGAATTTTTGGCCTAATTAAATCATAGTTGTGCCGTGGGATATCACTCTTTAGCTTTGACACGCATGGTCCACTTCTAAGTCAGAGTGCCTATAATAAGGGAGCAGAAATGGCATGAAGAAGGGAAGGATAAAAAGTTATGCACATTCAATACTTTTACCATTTGACTCTATGCTACTTGATGCTTTTAGTTCTCTCTAGTTATATAGGAATAAATTGCAGAGTAACATAGGACCACCTAACAATTGTACATATTCTTTGAAAGGAGAAGCTGTAAAGCCTGTAACTTGTTCAGATAAATTGAATCTTTTCCACAAACAAAAATATCAAATGCAAAGTGATAGAATGAAATCAAGGTCACGGTCACTTAATCAAAACGTATTAAATTGCTGATGACCTACCTGGCTACTCAACCATACAACAAAATTTGATGGCCTCATCATGATCACCAGATCGATGCAATCTAATACCATGATTGTTCCAACAGTTGTCACAGTGAGTAGTTGTGACGATCACATTAGTGTCTATATCATGAACTGATATTTATTTAATACCATACTGAGCTAATGGGTTCACCTGTCTCTAATTCCATTCCTCTTCAAGTCCTTCAATTAAAAAGTGACACATAATTGAGAAATAAGTAAATAACTCTCTTGTTTAGTTTTTTTTTTTTAATGTTATTTTTTAATTGGAAAGGACGAATAAGGAGATGGAAGATAATTTTATTATTCAAATATCTAAAAGTTGATATTGTATTTTTTGTTTTATATATATATATATATTATTTTTTTTTTCCTAAAATCAAAGGGAACATCTTTTAATTGTCTTTTTGAGTTGTTCATGAGCAAAAATGTTTGATGGTCATCATTTGTCTGTCTACACTTAAAGATGTAAGAATATAAGAGATAAAAAAGTGATAAATGTAACAAGTGATGTGATATAATAACAAAATTTAAATAAGTGTTGACATAAAATATTCATAAATAAAAGTTCTTTTCATAAGAATTGAGAATAGGTGATTAGGCAAGGTGTCCCCCACGTATCTCTAATTACTCTTCATTTAGCCTTCTTTTGTGACTTAGACAATGCACTAAATTGCAACAGCTAGCCCACTGAGTCAGGCAATCAGCTCAAGTTGTAGACTGTACCCAAAAAAGTTGGAAACATATATGTTGGCACCTATTTTTGGGTGTTAAATGAGTGAAGAAAGAGAGAGATAATAAGTTAAAAAAAAAAGATAAAACAAAAGATGAGATAGAAAAGAAAAACAGATAAAAAAAATAAAGAAAAAATAAAAGAAAAAGGGGGTATAAAGTTTTATTTCTTTGCCACGGATTAACATAGTCATAGTTATTTAGGTTTGCAAAAACACTTTAAAGTAATGGGATTTCTACAGGCTAAAACTTCCATCACTCAAGTCAATAACTTAACACATGTATCCGAGTTGATAGTAAACCACGGTTCTCATTATATTATGCAATCCAACTCATCATTTTAATTTCCACTTTTGTGATCTTTACACATAATATGAGTTAATTTTTGCTAAATTTATGTGAGTAGCTTTCGCTAGCCATTATTAAAACTCCCAAAAGTAGTGCAACTCTTCCTGATTCCTGCAATTTCTTAAGACAAAAACCATGTAAAAGAAAGAAAAAGTCCACTTACTCTCTACCTTTCACCGAAAAGTGCAAGCACACCTGCATTCTCCTTGACTTTAGATTAAGTTTATTATAAACACTCATAAAGTATGTTTATCACTCACTGCACGAGTTCATTCATCATTCATGTGACTTTCACTTCTCTACAAGGCTACAACTTTCCACGGATAGAGAATGAAGAGACTGAAACATAAGAATCTGCCAAGAGAATAATGATATATACATAGTATTCTTGTGGCTTTGATTTAATTAACTAGCATGGCATGGATTAGGTTGTTAGCATAGTAACTTCACTGAGAGAGTGACAATTTTAGTGGGGTGCAAAGGCATCAGAATTCACAACTGTCAGGTTTGGTAAAGATGGGAGTTGTCACTGTTGGAGAACTGAAGCCCAGCATTTCAGGGAAGAGGACCTTTCGTCCAAGTTCAAGCATAAGACATGCCACTGAATGGTACTATTCTATATCAAAAGTTATGTATATATATTTTTCATTATTTTAGGCTGAATTTTGTGTTGTTTACAAGAGCATTTTGATACATCTAGGCAAGTGAATAAATGTGATGAGGCTTTCAATGAATGGGAAAAATGGCAAACAGTAGTTCTAGAAATTGATCTAATGACCCATCAAAACATAGCTTTTTTCTTTTACCTTGTAGAGTCATTTTCAGATACCTACAAGTATAATTTGATCTTAAGTTTTGATCACATAAATGAAATACAGAAAAAAAAAATTATAAAACTATTCATCTGTCTTTACCTATCAGCTTAAGCTTTTGGGACAATGGTTCGTGACACTCCAAGGTTAATTCTTAGAGGTTTCATTTTTTTGGGTCTACTGTCCTTTTCCTATAGGATTCTGAAAGTTCAGTTTGTGAGAAGGAACACCAGCTAGGACACTTTCATTTTGTCTTGTCGTCTTGCTCGTGTGTGTGTTCATCTCTTTTGTATTCATTCAAATTTCAATATTCCACAACTCCTCATTTCATTTGGTCATTGTTCACAACCTGTGCAATCTCATGGTAGAAAGCAACACTTTTAGCCTTCACGGTACAATTTAAACGCTGAGATTGGTAGATAAAGCTGTTATGTAACATGCAACCTTGACTTTGATGTAGTCCTGTACTCACTAGACAACAATATGGTGCTGCATGGTGAATGTCCAATTCTGATCTGTCATGTATGAAAGCGCCAAATAATGTTTGTCTTCAATTATTCTCATGCTTTTACCTAAGGATATGTTTGGAGAGATTTAAATGAGTAGGAAATGTTATAATAATAAGAGCTCATCGACTACATGAAAACATCTTGGCTACACATATCACACTTAAACATCAACATGACAATACTTGTGTGGCTCAAATGGTTTCCCTTTCTTACATGTGGTGGTCACTTGTTAATGATTTGGATCAATGGGCTCCACAATATAACGAATCTTGCAATATTAAATTGGACCTAAAACTCGTGTAACTGTGTTGTCTGAGGTACTGCTGAAGTAGTCCCACTCATCAAATTCTGTATTTATTGAGTTGGGGGCCATTCTCAACTAAGTACTTGATCTTGGAAGATTGCATTGTCTTTCGGTTTGTGGTGTACAAGACACAAACGTTGAATTCCATCTTGTACATTTAATTGCACATACATGCTGCAGCAAAAGACTCTTTCAAGTTCTCTGATAATTTCATTTTGGTAGTAATATGCATAGCTGCTGTTGTTGGTTTATATTGAAATTTCCATGTCTTATTCAGCTAGGTTTATAAATTACAGGCCCATATCTGATGTCTCCAGTGATCTTACCATTGAAGTTGGAGCCTCAAGCTTTTCACTTCACAAGGTAAATAAAATACAAGTTGCCTTTCTCATAGGTTACTGGCATATTCAGCATGGTGTTGATAAATAAATGACATTTTTCCGTGCAGAATTTACCTACCAATCATATATATGAATATTGATCGTTTATACATAAGTAAAACACTAACACCTTTGAAGAGAATTTCAAGCTCAATATTAGTACACTACACATTAACAGCCAGTAATAAAATCATGAACGTACATAATGCTTTATGAATCATGCATTAGTTTGAAAAAGAAAATAATAGAAAAAAAAAAGGAGAGAGACAATATTGCAAGTCCTAAGTTGTTTGCATTTTTTTTCCCCTACAGTTTCCACTGGTTTCTCGGAGTGGAAGAATTAGGAAACTACTGTTAGAAGCAAAAGATTCTAAAGTTTCACGCATTAGTCTCCCAAATGTGCCAGGAGGTGCAGAGGCATTTGAGCTTGCTGCCAAATTCTGTTATGGGATCAATGTTGAGTTCACCCTCTCCAATGTTGCTATGCTAAAATGTGTAGCACATTTTCTACAAATGACAGAAGAGTTTGCAGAGAAAAACTTAGAGACAAGAGCTGAAGCATATTTAAATGACACAGTGCTTCCAAATATATCAAGCACAATATCAGTTCTTCACCGTTGTGAAACTCTTCTTCCCATTTCGGAAGAGATCAACCTTGTTAGCAGGCTAATCAATGCAATTGCAAACAATGCATGCAAAGAACAACTTACCTCTGGTTTGCAAAAACTTGACCATAACTTTCCGTCTAAAACCATATCAAACATGGAACCTGAAACACCCTCAGAATGGTGGGGAAAATCTCTCAACGTTCTTAGTCTTGATTTCTTCCAAAGAGTTCTATCTGCAGTGAAATCAAAGGGGCTAAAACAAGACATGATCAGTAAAATTTTGATAAACTATGCACACAGTTCTCTTCAAGGGATGGTTGTTAGAGACCCTCAAGTAGTCAAAGGAAGTTCACCAGACTTAGAATTGCAAAAGAAACAAAGGGTCATTGTTGAAGCCATAGCTAGCTTATTACCAACTCAATCAAGGAAAAGCCCTGTTCCAATGGCTTTTCTCTCTAGTTTGTTGAAAGCTGCAATAGCAGCATCAGCATCCACTTCTTGCAGATCGGATTTGGAGAGAAGGATTGGCTTACAACTTGACCAGGCAATTCTTGAAGACATCCTAATCCCAATGAACTCATATCAAAACACACACGGCACTATTTATGACACAGATTCCATTTTGAGGATATTTTCCAATTTTCTAAACTTGGATGAGGAGGATGAGGAGGATAGTCACTTGAGAGATGAAAGTGAAATGGTTTATGACTTTGACAGCCCAGGATCTCCAAAACAAAGCTCAATTCTTAAGGTGTCTAAATTAATGGACAACTATCTTGCTGAAGTAGCACTAGACTCAAACTTGTTGCCATCAAAGTTCATATCACTTGCTGAACTACTTCCAGATCATGCACGTATTGTGAGTGATGGACTCTATAGAGCTGTTGATATCTTTCTTAAGGTGAGAATTGCTTCTCCATTACCAACATTTCATTACAAATTTTAAGAAATAAACCCAAAAAGCTAAATTATAACATTATTCCTCATATGTAATCTTTGCTCTCTGTTTTGATTTTTATATAAACAAGTTTATATTTTAATTCTTATATGAAAGAAAAATTATAAATTGACTTGTGCTTATAATAGTATTAGTGTATTTTTCATGTAGGGATTAAAATAAAAAAATTACATGTTATATGTTATATGTAGAGACTAAAATTTAAAAAAAAAATTGTGGAAGGACTAAAATGAAATGCAAGTGCATAAATTTAAATAAAAAACAATATTAAGTACCGGTTCAAATTTAATATAGTACTAACTTTTTTATGTAAGACTGAAACATCATTTAATGTTAAATGTAAAACCAAATTTAAATTAAACCTTGTATCTTCTAAACTATAGCATTGTTGTTAATTGTTAGTTCTAGTTACCAATTTGGTTGGTTTTTTGTACTTTAGGTTCATCCAAACATAAAGGACTCAGAGAGGTACAGACTCTGCAAAACCATAGATTGTCAGAAACTGTCTCAAGAAGCATGCAGCCATGCAGCACAAAATGAAAGACTACCAGTGCAAATGGCAGTTCAAGTTCTATACTTCGAGCAAATAAGGCTTCGAAATGCAATGAACGGAGGGCACAACCAATTCTTCTTTGGAGGACTAAATGGTCAATTCCCTCAACGTTCAGGAAGTGGTGCAGGAAGTGGAGCCATTTCCCCCAGAGACAACTATGCATCAGTGAGAAGAGAGAACCGAGAGCTCAAACTTGAAGTTGCAAGAATGAGAATGAGACTCACTGACTTAGAGAAAGACCATGTTTCTATGAAGCAAGAACTAGTAAGGTCCCACCCTGCCAACAAGCTTTTCAAATCATTCACCAAAAAACTATGCAAACTCAATGCTCTATTTCGGATTAATAGCATCAAGCCAAATGGTGCCACGTCTGAGACTCGCTTCCCTTTTCCTAAGAGAAGGCGTCACTCAGTTTCATGACACTCAAAAAACTCTGTAATATAATAATGTATAGTATGTATGAATATGATGCATGCCGTGATTGTCACTATTTTCTAGTGGGTAGTTTTATTTTATTTTATTTTATTTTTTGAGTTTAACAGTTCTGAGACATCAAATTTTTGGCTTGCTTTCTCACATTCCATGATGCTGAGCTGCTGCAATTTCCTTTCTATTCCATCATTCAACTCAAAAGCTCTATCATTAGAGTTTAATGAGACACGAGTTAATTAGTAATCTTCTTAAAAGATTTTATAAAGTATTAAATGAAAATATTTATGTATTATTAAGTTGGAAACATAAAATATAATAAATACTTTTTTATTTAGTATTTAGGAAAAATTTGTAGGAATAAAGGAAAAAGGAATTTATAATTTTTCTAAGTTAGTAACTTATAAGTGATATTATTATGTAGTAACATCATTTTCACATTCTTATTACGAGCTCCACCGACAGGTTATTGTATCTTATTTTTGACACTTTTGTTAACATCAGTTTTTAAAGTTAATTTTTTAAAAATAATTTTTATTAATAAATAATTGTATTTTAATATAATAAATATATATTTTAAAAAATTACATTTAAGTATTTAAAGTCAACCTTAATAGTTAATGTTAACATTTTCATATTTTTATGTTACAAATATTTTTAATTACATAAAAGTTTTCTTCGCCCACAACGCTTATATTTATCCAAAGATTCATCCAACGATTAGTGTTAGCAACTAATGATCTGTCCTAAAATCATTAATGCCGTATTTATTTTAGAGTATATTTATAAGAATGGCTTTTTAATTATTCAATTATTATAATTGTTTTTTTAATTAAAATATGTTTAGTTTGCATTTTATATTTTCACAAATGTTTTGAACTTACATGATTGAAATAAAATAATGTGTTAAAAGGAAAATGTTTGATGTACTACTAAAAGTAAAAGTAGACATCTCTTAATGTCCCTTTATATTGTTAAGTATATTTTTAAGATGCTTGTATACATAAAAAAATAAAAATAATGGCATACGATGTTATATACGCTGTCAATTTTCAGTGATTCGAATAACATAACTAGTGACAAAAAGAACTGAGAATAATTTAATAGCTGAATGATAAAATAACATTATTCTTATGTCATAGAAAAATAAAATAAAAATATTTACCTTTTAAATATTGTTTAAAACTTGTAATGAATAAGAAAATATCATATTTTTAAATCTACTTCTTTCAAAAATAATTTAGGAATCCTTTTAAAAAAATAATTAGCTTTTAGATGATACAGAAGTAATTAATGAGACAAAGAGACTCCATGGCCCAATGGATAAGGCGCTGGTCTACGGAACCAGAGATTCTGGGTTCGATCCCCAGTGGAGTCGTTTTGTTATTTTGGATTCGTGGTGCTAAAAAATTATCAACAAATATTTATTATTATTATTTTAATCTCGATCTCTCTTTCCTTCACTTATTTATAGTCTAAAATGGAGTGTGTACATTGATAAATTCATCACTGTGAAGGACATGATTATTCCTTCTTCCCACTTGGGTATGTCTGAAATATGACACCATTGAGATAGCATGACTTTTGTTAAATAGTTATAGCATTTTATTATATTTAAATAAAATACAATAATTAATATCGTTTTCAATCTTTAAATAAATAATGAAAATATCATTTCTTGTGAAAGTAAAAATAAATATTTGAAAATAATTAACAAAATATATTTTAATACTTACATATTTTGTGTTCCTTAGTTAATTGGATAATTTACCCTCCACCCATGTTGAGATTTGAACTTGGATCCATTTCATTGAAAACAAAAAGTGCTTATATCGTCGTCTCGTGAAAAGATTAAAAGAATTTAAGAAGAGAATTTATTTGAGTTTATAAAAAAAATTATTAATTTATTTTTGTATAATTTATTAAAGTTATGGTATAAAGTCTCACATAATAAGAGTTTATTAAAGAAGCAATTAACTAAGTTATTTATCCAAACACTTTTACACTACTAAAATAAAGCTTTTTCAATTAAAATAATTGTTGTCATAGGCGATTTACTTTTATATATATATATATATATATATATATATATATATATTAAATATGAGTTCGAATAAAAATATTTGTAAGAGTTATTATTATATATTCTTATTACACTACACGATTTATTCTGCATTGAGTATTTTTTATTTTTTATCCATTTTAAATACCATCTAATTTGATTTAATTTTCAAAATTTTATTTTTAAATCTATTTCTATTTAATATAATGGAACAATCGTTATTAATAATGCATATTAAAAATGTACCCTCTTAAAAATATTCAAATTAAAAATATAATTAATATTTTCATTCATATTAATACTACTTTTAAGTTTTTTTATATGACCTTCATTAGTATTTTTTATTCATTTATAGTGTGTAAAATATTTAAAAATAACGTATAGATAATAATTAATAATCGATAATATCTTAGATTTTAAGAGGATAAATAAATAGAAATATTTTTTTTAAAAGATAAACAAATAAAGGAAGGGAAGGGAAGGGAATAATTTCTTTATAAGTAGAAGATATATCATTACTGGTTTGCATGAGTTAAAAACTCAACTTTGACGATATGGTGAGCTGATGATAGTTTCATATTCTCTCATCTATTGTTAATCAATTGATCTCGTGTAGATATTGCTTTGCTCTTATTAAATGTGTAAAATTTCGATATTATGAAGTATCTGAATACACAAATAAGTGTTAATGTTAATACGAATGAAGCTTAATTATTGTTGGGCAAAACTAGTGAAAGGTACAATGGCATATGCGTTTGAAGAAAATCGCCATCGGTAGTGGGTAGTGCGAGATCAGTTCTTGGCATCACAGTGGGGCTTTGGATTCCTCAACATCTACGTGTCAACGTTATGTATTTATTTCTTTATATTTTCTCTTTGCCCATACTATCTTAGGATCTCCCTCGTATACATCAACGAATATGTATTAAGTTTGGTTTAGGAAACTAATACCATGTTTGGATGCGTTTTCAAAACTCTTAAAATGTTATTTTGAAATTTCTCGGAGCATATTTGATAATTTTATAATATTTTATTTATTTTTAAATTCATGTTCCTTCAATATAATAAATTATGACTATTGGGTTGAATAGATATACCTATTTTAATATATTGAACAAATAAATACAACAATTAGTCAATTTTAAACAATTTTATTATGGAATAATCTCTTTAAATTTGTCTGAATAATTATATTATTATTTTGAGGAATACTAATAACAAACTTTTTTTTAACATATTTTAAATTATTGGCTAAAATTTATTAAAAAATTATAAAAATAACATGCCTATTATTGATAAGTTAATGTTTCACTGTTTTATATTTTTATTGTTTTAATAAACTTTGGCTGATAGACATAAATACGTTAAAGAGAAGTATTTCCAGAGTTTTTGATTTTTTTCTTCTATGCCGGGAGGGTTATTTGTCAACTTTCACATATAAAGTTAAATTGTTCATTCAAATTCTTTCATAAACGAGTCTTGCATTTGATAATACGTGCATGCCAGGGTCATGTCAGGCATAGGCGTGGCTTGCATTATACAAAATTAAGAATAATGAAGTTCTGCTCAAGAACAAGAAACGAAGAATTAAGAGTACAAGTAGACTAGAAGAAGCTCTATATTAAACCTCAAAGTCGACATAGCCATAGGAACTACATAGTAATATTCTAACATGTCAAGAGCTTGAAAAAGATTACAACCTATTGTTTGATCCTCTGAGGTGAATATGCGTTGCATGGCTAGGAACTCCAGATAAATATAGCTTTAGCCCTCAAAAGCAACTGGGCAAGCTTGTTTTGGACGTTGAGGATTATGAGTTGATCAGCACCACCTATAAATTGTTGTCCAATGAACACGGCTGGTACAATTGGATGTGAACCCATCTGAATCAGTTCCCTCTCTATTTGCTCACCATTTTCCATTTTGTCAACTTCTATAACTGTAGGGTTGGCACCAAAGCTGCATATAAGAGCCTTAACAGAATGGCTAATGCAACAAGTGCTCTTGCTGAAGATCACCACTGGCTTATCAGCAGTTAATGTTGCCACCATGCCCATTGCTACAATATCTGAGTAATAAAAAAGAGTAAGACTTAAAACTATGCTATATATGACTTGAATTTGGGTTGCTTTGCTTTGTTCTCCTGAACTTGAGGTCTATTTATATTGGCTTCAGCAGGTTTATTCCGGTAGATGACACTGAATAGTTAGTTGTAAATGTAGAATAACATCTGAAAAAGAATAAACGTTCTAAAAGTTATGTCATCAGTGGATTCTCAATATTCGCTATTTGATTGCTTTATCTTATTGCTGCTTCATTGTATCCAACCCATGATCGTGGCTATGTTACGATTGAAGCTCATTTGCAAATGAATATTTGGCATGGAATATTAAAAGGTTAAACTGCGGATTGCATTGTGAAAATTATCCCAGGATAAGGCTAAATCTTCCGAAGTTATTTAATCATTATACATTGGCATGTTGGTAAAATAAGTGCTGGGAAATTTATCACCCTTTGTGTTTTTTACTCCTTGTTTTTACATGACACAACTCTGAGAGGCTTATTGTGTTTACATAGAAAATGGACAGTTGGAGAGAAGTTAGGTTTGAAAACATTGCAACTTTCATCTCTTAACAAGATAAGCATCAAGTTTAAATCCCAAATATTGAAGGCCGAGTTGAAAGATGATAAAAGAGATATTTGTAGGGAGACGATGTTGATTTAAAGGTAATCCATGGCTGATAGCATGTGCTAATTTTGGTTAATCATGGCCCCAGATATCATTACAATCCACGCAGGGACCACATAGAAAATGGGAACAGAAAACGCTACCCTTTGGTACCCACCGAATTTTCGTTTTTCCCACATTGTACTACATAAGTGGAAGATGCCGAGAAGAAGTTCTGTGCTTCGGAGCATATGAATCTTATCACACAGTGGAAACTTTGCACAAGCCTTTGGTGTCTTCCTTTCAATCTACGATTCTGTGTTTAGTATTTCATTGACTATTTGGGCAATAAATAGAGTTAGTATATCAATTCTATGTGCTACAATTTCAAAAGTATTTCATGTGGGTTGGTTTTCATTATTTTTGCTTCGCTGATTATTTTACGGATCCATAGCCTTTTCTCAGGCATCTTTTGTTGATTCCTATCATTCGAAGCTTATCAAGCGGAGACTTCAATCTTATACAAAAGTCTAATAAAGAAAGCTCAAATTTGATTTGAGAGTATTGCGAAGTGTAGAAGCACAACAACGACTTTAGCAAAGTTTGATCTGGAACTTATGGCCACTTTGTATTTTTGTAGAGAGCTTATGCTTGTTGGTGATTTTTGCAAACATTAAAATACCATCTGATAACAACGATGTCAAATGGTTGATTTAAGCTTGTTTGGAAGAGTTTATGAAAATAAATTTATGACTCTTGTAAAGCTTTTTTTAACTTATTTTAACATGCTTCTTAATACAGCTTATCAAAATAATATTTTGTAGTTTATTTCAATAAGTTTTATAATCAAATTCTCGCTGTAAAACCCTATATGAAAAAAAAATAAAATAATTAAGTACGTAATTAAGTTAATTATCCAAACACACCAGAGGGGGAGGTCATCTACTCAATGTCAGCAATTGTTGTCATTATTGCATTAGTATTTGTCAATGGGAATACACAAAATAAGAAGTGATTCATTTGGTATTTAGTTACACTTGAAAAAGAACAAATGAGTGAAAGAAAAATTGAGTTTATCATGTCAATTTTGATTTGTCTCATGTCAAATATTGATCTAGTTTGGATTAAAAAAAATTATAAGAGAAAAAAATCCAGTACAACTTATTTCACCAGTGAATTTTATTTATTCTTTATACTGCTTTTTCTTTTTCTTCATATAAAGACTCTTCTAAAAGTTTACTGTGGACCATTATCTTTCTTTCTCGGCCATTCCATTGCAAGATAACATTAAAATTACATTGCCCTGTCACATGTAGACATTATTCGTATTCTTCTAGCAACAGAATTTTCCACGTGGGAGCTTGGAAAGAAACCCTGTGCCTCCATGTCCCAAGTTCTGTGTCTTGAAATGTTCCACAATTGTATAAACGGCTCAAAAATAAAGTGAAGGGTCACTTGATCCTCATAATGTTGTCATTTGAATTATCCAAACGGTTATCTGCAGACTACTATGTGCACAAGCATCAAATCACGACAGTATCTTTTCTTTTATCCTAAATAAGATTTTAGATTGTGCTTGGCAACACAGAATACAAGGTACATAAAATGAGATTTGTTCAATCAGTGTTTAGTAGGAAAAACCACAGTAATGTTTGGAAGAGAAAATTTGTAAGAGGATTGGTATTATTTAGCACTCATAAAAAAGTAGATTCCCTTTTTATATTAGATTTTTAGGTGATCCTTACCTTTCCAAACACAATTCACAGTTACGCCACTGTACTACAATAACTATTCAATGCAAAATGCCATATTTTTGGGAACTAAATGCTAAGCACTTTGATCCATGCATAACTTTTCATATGACAGGAAAATGGCTCTTAAAATGTAGTAGTAATTAGCAAATCAACAACCTTTTGATTTTCTAATTATTTTTAACATCCTTTTTCAATTAGAAACTTTTGAAAATTCTTGTAGGCTTCATACATTTTGAAGTCTTCAAATTTGAGAGGCTAATGAAGCAGAGTATTTTGGCCCCAACATGGATAATTGTTAGCACACGGTAAATTTCACGATTCTAGATACTGGTTGGCGAAATTTGCTAAATAAAAGATTCGTATATGTTCATATACTCTTGAAAGATGGTGAACCGATTGCCAAAACTCTTGTTGATACGATTATAGCATGTTTGGATTCACACTTCAATTCTACTCCTTATAATTTCTGTTTTGAAGACATGTTGAGGTTCTTGAGGACAGTTTCATATATTGCTCAAGTTATATTTCTTCCTATGTTAAGGTAACTCTTTTAAGTTATCAAACATATTTAGTACTAAATATTTCTTCCTATGTTTTTAGGAATTAAATACTAAGTGCCTTGATACATGCATGACTTCTCATGCAAGAAAATGGTTCTTGATGATGCATAGTAGTGACTAATAAAAAAGTACGAAGGTTAAAACTAGAGTATAAATTATTCCCCTCGTAAAAGGGAGTTGAAAGCATTTTTCAACAATTACCAACACGTAAAAATATAAAATATAGTAAAACGAGCGTTGTCTCAACAGCAACACAAAAATGAGTTATCTAAAATATTCTTTCACAGGAGAAAGATTGAAATGATACCCACCAATTCATTCCTTATTTTCAATCTTTCCTCGTACTAAAACAAGCATCCATTAATTTGTGTTCTTCATTGAAAGGAACTAATTCTTCCAAACGTTTAAAATATAAGGAGAACACGTGTCTTTCGTAACCCAGTGGAAACCTACTTTGTGAGAATGGGGCGGTGGGAACTGAATTCCTAATCACTTTAGTTAATTAAGAAGGCTACAACTTAAAATTATCAACTCAGCTAAAAAAAATCTAGGTTAGGAGATTGGTAAACAGAAAAGATTTTGACTCTAACCTCAAAGTTGTTTTGATGCTCATTTCATGTCTTTTCTAACTACTTAGTACATTTTGATTTTAACAACAATGTATTGAAAAACTTCGTACGTTTATGCACAGGTTTTGTTCATGCGTTCGTATTTAATTTGAATGACTGCGACATCATCATTCAAGAACGAAAGAAAGATGAAAAAAAAAATATTATTTTGAACTTTGTTATATCTTCTTGCTTATCCCCTTAATAACAATCTTATTACTATACAAATTAAATATTAACTAAAAACTAAATATATTTATTATCTTAAAAATATAAAATATATTTAATATTTTTCTCATTTAGTAGTTCGTCTTGAAATTTCATGGTATGCAACCGATGTCCATAATTCAAGGCTGCTCTCTCTCGTCTGATCATCCATTGCCCATTTAGGCAGTTTCTTTTTTCGATTGATAAATATTAGAAAATCACAAAAGCACAAGTTAAATTTAATTTATAAAAAAAAATTAATTCATTTTATTATTTAATTTTTAACTCCTACAATCATATTATCAGAAATTACTTGAAGTACTTTTGATATGTAACGAAGCTGTTGGCTGAGATAACGTATCAATGAGCCCTTATTTTGAACCTCATTGCGTTTCCATGTTAACACTATCATCAATACATAATGTTAATAAGCCTTTCTCTGTCCCTACAACACACGGCATTAATTGGAGCCCATTGCTTTACCAACCTAAATGGTTTCTTTAGACACTTTGTGATTGTATTCCGAAATTGTATATACAAGAGATGAGCCAATTATAACATAATACAACTATAGTGAGTAACTTTCCTATAACGGTAATACTACTTTCTTTTTGGCGAAATGGAAGAAATGGACATAAAAAAAAGAATCAAAGCAATAACGTGCCAAAATTTCATTATATAGATATATATTCTTTTTTAAAAAGGGTAGTCATAAATGCTAACATGACATGCATATCCACACACTATAAGAACAAAAATATGAAACAAAAAAGAGAAAATGTAAGTTAAAGCTGTTTACTAGATGGACAATTGTGACCTTATTCTAATGTCCGAAAGGGAACTATGATATGTATAACTAGATAGCCACGTTTCAAAATGTTTATTTGTTTAGTAGTTGTAGAAATAAATTTTGCTTCAAATCCATATAGCCTTGGCATTAATGAGCATAGGTACTAACTCATTCCGAAGATGAAGGCTCATAATTCTCTTAGACCCGCCAATGAATTGTTGTCCTATGAACACAGCTGGAACACTTGGTTGGCACCCCATTTGAACAAGTGCTCTTTCAATTTGCTGGCCATTTGTCATTTCATCAAGCTCATAAACAGTGAGATTTGCCCCAAAGCTACGTATCAATGATGTGATAGAGTGGCTCAAGCAACACGTGCTCTTGCTGAATATCACCACAGGCTTTTCATATACCATGCTTGTGATTGTGTCCATGATAGCTAGAAATTTTATAGATGAAGCAATGTTGTGTATTAATGTAGCATATGAAGAGTTTCTGAATTTTTCTGAATTTGGCCGTGTGGAAACTTGGCAATGTTAAAGAGCTATATATAAGTTTAGTCATAGTGGTGGGATTGCATTGTCTCTTCATGTGTCATAATAGGAAAAGAATAAGATCGTAGAAAAAAAATTCGGAGGATTCCTGATATTTGTTCTACACTGCATGTGTTATATCGATACAAGTTGCCTAGTTGTTAAGGTAAATCTAATGTACCCAAGATTTAATTCAAGAATAAGATTCATGCTCGTGCATGAGGCATATTTTTTTTTTGTCCATATCCATCTAAATATTTCACATTTTATCACCTTGATATAGTTTGTACTTGTACTATAAAATTTACTCCTCTTAGCCAGTAACTTTGCACCCAAATAACATAAGAGGCAGAACAATTCAACTGGGCTACATGATTTCAACTCCAATTGGTCTAACACATGATAAAGATTATCATAAAGCTTTGATTTATATAATTTTGAAGTTTGAACTAAAGGTATTGTTTGAATTGAAAATAAAATCTTTAAAAAAATTATAAATGAGCGATTCCCACAACTCCAAGATTGCATTTCTATTGGAATCCTAACTCAACTCAACCATAATGTCACGTCCCTTTAGATCCGTAACCGTTTGATAAAAGGAATATATGGTTAAAAAAAGCGATCAAGGAAGAGACAAAAATAGAAAAGGAATGAAAGTGAAAGAAAAAAGTGGTGGAAGAGTGTGTCAAACAAACTATATACAGAAGCTGAAGACGTTTTTCAGCACAGGGATAAAGGTTGGTAGACTTAATCTGTCACAATCTGATTGTTATGATTTAGATTATGCTTAAGTTAAACTTTAATCCTTTTCTTATATTCCCCTGCATATTTGTAGCACAAGTCATATACATTTAAACATGTGCAAAATATGTGATTCAAGCTATTATTGGATTGTGGTTGGTTTACGAATTTGAATTGATCGCAATGATATAATGTGTAAATCAATATCAATGGATTCTGTGGAATCTGAGTACTTAATCTTCACGTGAAAACATTAAGGCCAAAATGTCAGTAGTGAATCTGCATATGTTATCAATCAGCTATTGCTCGTGTCGTCTCTTCATGCTTTTGATTAATTGGGCCTTATTGGTCGCATTTTTATATTAGTCCTATTACACAAACTGGGAGACCTCATCCCATATATATATATATATATATATATGCGCACACACACACACTTAGCACATAAACTCATTTGGTAAAGACACACAGAAGATTGGTTTTATATTTCGAGTTCTTCGTACTCAAAACGTAAACAAAACATAGGTGGCCTACTTTATGCTGCAATTATTTTCTTTATTATTAAAAAAAATGTTGCTGATAATAATTGAACTCTGTCGCCACCCAAGACCTGGATCAATTGATAAGAATTATTATAATTTAACTTGTGATTTTGACATGAATATGATGGTTTCTAACAAAGAAATAGCTAAAAAATAATTTAACTATATTCCACTTAATCGTGTGAGTTCTTATACATATCATGTTACAAACCATCCTAAGAATTTAACTATCGGCTAAAATGACATGTATGATTTATATTATATTTCTATCACTACACAGGTGCTTATTGTGCATAATTTCCAGCATTTCATCTTATTGAAAATGGTGGCACTTTTTTTTTTTTGGGTCGTGAAATGATGGGAATTATTTATTTAGACTCCAAGATGTATTTATTTTTAATTGGTTATTAGTAGGCCCTAACCCATAGTAAAGCCCATGTGACCCTGCTCGGTCCGGTGATTTATGACCCATATTATAGTGAGACTTTTAAGTCCTTCGTCCAGAGAGCCCACTAATTAAATGGGCTGTGATTGGGTTACTCATGGGGCACTTTCAAAAAGAAATTGAAGCAAAGGCAAAATTCAACTATCCCTCTGTTTTATATTTTAAAATTAGATTATATCATTAAATAATAAATAAAATCATAAAAATTATAATTATTATTATTCTTAATAACTAAAAAACATAAATAAATTAGGATAATAATAATTTACTTGAGATTAAAAAACACTAATTACAATATCTGAAAACAAAAATCTATAAGCCTAAATTTGGGCAAAATTAAGAAACTTGTCATCAGCAGTGAGGCCTATAATGCCTACTACTATGGTTGCATCTAGTTCAAGGTCAGGATATCCCTCAGCTCACACTCTTTTTGATTGTGGGACCATTGTTATGAATATTGGTCAAAGTCGCAACTCTTGAGTCATAGTAGTATATGAAATTGAAATCACAAATGCTGTAGATAAGTCCCTTCTTTGTCCCATTAAGGGCGTTTTGTGGACTCTGGTGCTTCAAGTGCCATTTGAGATTGACTCAACCTTGTCTCAAAATATAAATAATTAATACAACTTTGAAAGTTGACATATACCATGGTTGATCAGGGAGCATGACTCTGCTCTGCAAACCCATTGGTACCCTTCCTAACATAGGTGGGATGAAAGACCCCATTCATCTTAAATTTTGTTCAAGCTATCTTGCTTATAAAATAATTAAGTTCTTGATTATATAATAAAAATATAAATACTTTCAACACAATTTTTAATACAATATTTTTAGGGCTACTTTATTTTTGTATGGTTTTTTATTTTTAAAATACAAAAAATATGAGAATTTTTACTATATTACGTGAATATGGAATTTTCGTAAAAGTCACCAATGACGATTTTTTTTGATCTTATATATCAAATCACAATGAAAACTTACCAATGACGAGATTTAAAAATAATAATAATTTATTCATGGCAAAAATTGCCATTGGCGACTCTTGATGTTATAATTAAAAAATATACATGTAAAATCGCCAGTGACAATTTTTGGAAGTAGGAAAAAAATAAAAAACCGCCATTGGCGACTTTTAAATAATATTAATTAATCTAAAAATTTTAAAAGTCGCTATTGGTGATTTTTAAAATATTTGCCTATAAATACCGAGTTCTTTTTCATTGACATTGCAAGTGAGTAGATCTAAATTTTTAGATATAGAGAGAGGGAGAGATCATTATAGAGAAAAAAATGAGTGTACTCCTTTTGATATATTTTAATGGCGAGATTTTTACAAACACTCGTGAAGGTGTGTTATTTAGGTGTGAAAAACCAACATGTGTGTACATGAGAGACAATATGTCATTTGGCGAACTGTGTTATTGGCTTACTCAAAATATTGAATTTGAGTTTCCAAAAATAGTGGAAAGTATTGTTTATAGGTGTCCAATATCTATATTTGGTGGTTTCACGCAATATTATACAGTTCCAATAATAAACGATGCTGATGTTGCACAGATGTTTCAAATACATCACCAATATCATCCACCAACTCTTGCTATTGAGTTATATGTTGTTTTTAAAGAAATTGCAATTAACATTGACGAAGAAGATGAGGATGCATATGCAAGCACTGTCCCAAACAGAGAGGTAGAATGGATAAATGTCAACAATGAAAGTGGTGACTCTGAAGGAGAATATGGAAGTGGTGAATTGAGTGAAGATGAAGATGTAGATGACGATGGTGATGACGAGGTCTAATTGTCAAACACAGTGATTGGACAACATCCATTTGTGGAGCCACCTTTCATGCGTTCATTAAATCTCAATTCTATGCATGCCTCTGAGTTTTCAGATTATGCAAATTTAGGTATGTGTTATTTTTAACAATGTTGTTGAGGAATAAAAATATAGTTTTTTAATTTAGTATACTTGTGTTTACATTTGATAGGTCATTTTGATTTAGACGGAGACTTGTATGTTGGAAAGCAATTTGCTAACAGAAAAACTGTTATACGAGCAATTAAGTGTTATAGTATAGCAAATGGAGTGGACTATAAAGTGGTTGAGTCAGAACCAAGTATATTTTATTGTAAATATGTGAGGTATGAAATTGATTATGGATGGCTTCTTCGTGCTACTTTTAGAAAAAACGAGTTTATTTGGGAGATTAGAAAGTACAACGGTCCGCACACATGTACAAGAGGAAGAATTTCTCAGGATCACACCAAATTGGATTCCGACACAATTGCAGAATGTATAAAGCCAATGGTTGAATCTGACCCTTCCTTTAAGATAAAACTCGTTATTGGTGAAATTCAGTCTCGATATGGGTACACGATAACATATAGGAAAGCATGGATGGAAAAACAAAAGGCAATTGAAAAAGTTTATGGTCAATGGGAAGCCTCGTTTGAAGCTTTGCCGCAATGGTGTGCAGCAATGTGTGACTGTGTTCGAGGTTCCGTTGTTCAGTTGGATGTTGTAGATGCCTATCGTGTTGATGAGTTAGTTCCTAATGTTAAAATATTTTGCCAAGTGTTTTGGACTTTTGGTCCTTGTATCAGAGCATTTAGACATTGCAAACCACTTGTGCAAGTTGATGTGACACATTTATATGGAAAATACAAGGAAGTTCTATTGGTGGCTGTTGCACAAGATGGTAATCAGAATATTTTGCCAATTGTTTTTGCTATTGTTGAGGGTGAGACAACAGATGCTTGATTTTTTTTCTTTCATAATTTACGCAGACACGTTGTCACCTAAAATGGTGTTGGCATAATTTCTGATCGACACGAGTCAATTAATACAACAATAAGAAGAAGTAATAGAGAGTGGAAACCACCAAGATCTTTTCGCATGTATTGTATTAGGCATATTGCGGCAAATTTTTTACGAAGATTCAAGGCTCCATACTTGCATAAACTTGTTGTTCGCATGGGTATGTTTCATAACCTTATTGTACTTCTAATAAAAATGTTAAACAAATAAATATATATTATTTAATGTACTAATATGAATCCTTGTATTTTTTTTCAAGTTATTCAAGAACTGAACATGAATATAATATTCATTATGAGTGTCTACGGGAACGTAAAGAGGTTTACTCAAACTGGCTTAATGAAATTTCTCAAGAGAAATGGGTTCTAGCATTTGATGGAGGACATAGGTGGGGTCACATGACGACAAATTTGGTTGAGTGCATTAATTCAGTGTTAAAAGGTGCCCGAAATCTTCCAATCACTGCCCTATTAAGAGCAACTTACTTTCGATTGACTGAGTTATTTGCTCAGAAAGGGAGTGAAGCATATGCATGAAGAAAGGCTGGACATATTTTCTCTGAATTTGTGACAACCCGACTTTAATCAAATGAGGTAGGCGCCAGAAACTTGCGTATTACTCAATTTGATAGACGAAGTGAGAGTTTCCATGTTCAGGATTTATCTAACAGGCAAGAATATAGAGTTGATCTGAGGCAAAGGTATTGTGACTGTGGTGATATTCATACTGATAGATATCCGTGTCATCATGTGATTGCTGCATGTTGTAGTAAAAACATTAATTGGCGTGCTTATGTTTATGATGTTTATACGATTAATAAAGTATGCAAAGTTTATAAGAAGGAGTTTGCGGTAATTGGGAATGAAAACACATGGCGTCGTTATAGAGGACCAAAACTTTGTCCTAATCCTAGCTTGAAGCGCACAGGTAAAGGTCGTCCTAAATCAACTCGTTTTCTGAATGAAATGGATATGTGTGAAATGAGAAGACCAAAACGGTGTAGTCTTTGTCGAGCCGGGAACCATAGTCGACAAGAATGTCCTCATGCTCTAGGACCAAGTATGTGATTTGTAGTTGTGATGATGTCGTGTAGTATTAATTTTATTTGTTTGGAGTTGTTCTAAATATTTGTAGCAGTTATCAATGTGATTTGCTTGTGATGTTATAAACATGGTTGTTTTAATTAGTCAAACTAACAATACATAACAAAGTTAAGTACTCAAACAAATTCAAAGAACAGATAACATGCGATTACATTATACAAAGAAATAAGTAAACAACAATAGTACTAACAACCTGACTATCCTTCTTTGTCTTTTTTCTTTTTGATTAATGACGGACTATATCTATCAGGGGGTTGACTAAAAGGACGTAACAGACGTGTAAAAAATCCCCTTTGTCTTCCTCCTCTATTTGCATCATCACCTACACCCTGCTCCTTCTCGTGCTCATGCTCCTCCTCCTGCTTATGCACTTGTTCCTCCATATGACCAGATGTTAGGGTGAATGTGCTATCTTGTTGCGTGACATCCCATGACATCATTGGCATAGACCATTGATCATCGGGTGAGAATATTCCCTGTGGTACAGGCCCATACTCTGGTGTCACTGGTAGTGGTCGATACACATCCTTCTTATGTACTTGTTCTTCTTCTACAGTTGCATCTATATTTAAGTCAAAGTTAAATTGCCGATTGAGTTGGGAACTTTGACCTTCTTCAAGTCCAAATTCATATGTGCACATAAATTGACCAGACATCACAGTAGCACTGTTACAATCAATATGTAACATCCTCGTTTTTCCTAAACAGTTAATTTGTTAATATAGTTATAATTTAGATTATAATTCTTCAATTTTTGGAAAAAAAAAATGCTCGTTTATACCGGTTAAAATTGCTCTATGAGGATAAAAATAGCATTTTTAATCTAGAAGAATTATTTTAAATAATAAAAAATTATATTTTAATTAGAAATAATATTTGGAGTGTAAAAATAATTATTTTGGTAATTATTGCTTATTTTTGAATTTTTGGTTAATACTGTTTTATGTGTTCACAGGAATTGTGTGATTATTTTTTTTTCCTTTTCTTTTCTTTTTAAGTGATAACCAAAGAGATATTGATGTCAAAAATTATGTTATAATTATTTTAATTGTTTGGCATAAATTATTTTTATTTTTGAGTTTTATTCATAATTATTTTATTTAATTACATTAAAATAGTAAAATAATTGATTATTATATTATTATTTCTTTATCTATTTGACTAAATTGACCATTTTCTTACGTAAATCTTCTTCTTCTCCAAGTCCATAACCCCTTCTTCTCCCTTTCACCATTTTCATTTTCTTCCACTCATTTAAGCTTGTTTTAAGGTATGTTTTTAATATATATCCTTAATTAAGCTTAATTAGTTGTTAATTATCATTTCATCCGATTAAAATTTTAAATTTTTTCTATTTTTGGCTGTCATGAACAGTAAAAATGGGTCTTACTTTACTTCAAAATTATTGGTTTTTAAACTTACTTTCTTTTGTACTATATGTAGACTATGCATGACTTATATTGTTTACATAATTAGTTTTTCAAAAATGTGATTAAAAAGCACTAAACTCTCACAAGGGTTGGCTGCCATGTAGTTTTAGAGAAGGTGAAGTGAGTGTTTTTCAATTCCATTTTATTCCTTTATATTAGTTAGATCATAGAAACTAATTTTGTGTTAATCGGACTTTTATAGCAAAAGTTAGAAAATTTCAATTTTTACATATACATATAAGAGTATAAAATTAGCATCTCCTTAGTATTAATTATGTTTAGGCATGATTAATTGATTAGGTTGATCGTTTCGAAGATTGGATTGTTCGAGTTTTCTAAAGAATCAGAAAAAATTCATCTATATCTTCATCAAAGAATATCCGTAAGGTAAGGGGTGGGATAATTTTATTTCAATAGGTGGCATTAAGAACCATAAGGGAATGATTCTCTATTGTTCTAATCAAATAAAATGAATTTGGGTTGTTTTAGAGCTATCCCATAATTTTTAGAAGATTTTGTTATAGCACTTGACATGTGTGAAAGGTTGCCTTAGATCAGGAAATTGATTGAAAAAGGACTCTCCCTTATATGTAAGGTCTTTTGTGTATTTAAATTAATGTATTGGAATGATTTATGGTTGAAGTGCTGTATTGAAATATTTCTTTATAACTCATTATGTGCTTGTGTAGATATTCTTGTTGGTAGGAATGCCATATAATAGTAAAGATTGGAAGTAATATAGTTTCATGTGGTGTGAGCATATAGATTGATATAATCTAAATGTCCATTAAGACTTGTTGGAAAGAAGAAAATATGTTTTTAAGGTATATATATATATATATATAATTATGTATTTTATATATAGTACAAGTATCTTTTGACTTCTTTTGAAAATAGATTTAATAAAAATAAATAAATAAATTATATTACTGAGAAAGTAGTATTGGATATTTGGAAGGCTTGAATCATTTTTAAAAATGATTAAGTTTTAAATTTTTAAGCATAAAAACATATTTAAAGAAAGAGGGGAAGATACGATTTCCATGGATTTTGAGATGATGGAGGTGGAATTTAATGAATTAGAAGTATTCTGGATTTTTCTGGTTGTTTTACAAGAAGAAGAAAATTTTGGAATATCTGATTTACAGAGGAGACTCTGTCGAATTTTATTGAGAAAAGAAAAAGTTAAGGATTGTACTTAACAAAAAAGAAAAATTAAAGTTTTACTCTAATTACATTAATTAGGAGTGAGGACATGCATCATGAACATGTGATAGTGTGATGAGTGGACAGGGAAGTATAAGAAATCTAGGGGCGGCTCCATGGTAGTCTTGGGGATAGTGACGTGTGATTGAATCTGACAGTGGCCAAGGCTCGCCATCTTGTGCTGTAAACTCTCACTGCAAAACTTTACTATCCTGACTGGTCCCGAGAGATTCTTGTATTAGTAGAGCTGTTACTGTATTATGAGATGAACAAAGTTGGCAGATAAGTATCAGTGAAACTCCTGATCCTTCCCTGAGTAAAAGAAACATATTGATGGTTTTGGGCCCACATGCATGTGTCAAAATGTACTAAGTTATAATAATGGACTTGCATCACTTCTCATTCATGGCATATGCATTTGCTTGATAGATTATGGGTGTTGATAATTAATTGTGTGATTGAAACCCTTATATGTCTTTTGCTGTTGGAGATTGAATTAAATTGTCTCACCCTTTTATTGCTATGTGTGTTGTGTGTGAATATGTTTATTAGGTGAGAACATTGATGGCTCGACCACCGTACCAATTCAGCGTCTCGATCAGATATGATCCTGAGGGAACATGGGTGCACGACTGGGAGCAACAACGATTCACCCACACTGGCTCTATTACCTTTTTGTTAGATAGAAATGGCTCAGGCCCACGAGCTTACCCTATCCCCATCCGAGTACCCATGAGACTTATTTTTCCATTTCCTCCAGATGTACAATTTGTGAGACCCCCTACCCCACCTCCTGTTCCTGTATTATCACCCCCGGTATTATTCCCAGGTTTTCTTAGACCTTTACGTCCTTCTATACCATATTACCACCTGTGGAACGGACTAATTTAGTTGACACACTTTTAGCAAGACCTATCTCTATCTCATCCACTTCCTCTTCGTCTTTCTCTAGTTCTTCAGACTCTCCTGATTCTTCTCACTGCTCAAACACCTCTTCTGCTATCGGAAGGAAGAGGACTGCTTCTCAAGCAGGACTCCTTCCTAATTTCGCCCTCTCTGAGTAGGAATCTAGTGGAAAAGGAGAGTAGGTTAGAGTCGAGTAAGGGATAATCTATATATATACGTAGGTGTAAGTACTTTTGACTGAAAAGAAAAAGGGGTATATAGGAAGCCTAACCTTACCGTTGTTGAATTTTGGAAGGAA